AGAGTTATATCAAAACAATTGGCATGATCTATGATGGCTTGCCCAAACCCATCCTAAATCTCAGATCAACAATACTTTGTCAAATCCATACCTGTCGCAGGGCAAGGAGGTGCTGCTCCTGCTGCTGCAGATTCCATTGGCTCTGCTGGATCAATTCCTCCATTGAAGGAGTCCCCTGAGGAGTGGTGATAGGGGCGGCAGGAGCCAAAGGTGGTTGGGGAATTGGCTGCATCTGTGGGACAGCCTCAATATCTTGACTTTGCTTGCACAATACTGTAAAGGAGGAGCACAGAAGAACCCTAAGATAGCCATGTCTGAATATTGGATTATGTACTCTCTTCTTCAGTTATCAAAATCCATTAAACATTTTGCAAACAGCATGTTGCAGTTGGAAAATTTCTCATCCAGGTGGGGAAAACTGTTTTTTCTAGAAGTGAAAATCTAGACAGTGGTTTCCCTACCTACAACTAGTCAGAAAAAGTTACACTTATTGTTGATTTCTATGCACAAGTTAATTCTGAAGTTATCCAAAGAAATTGGGACCTTCAGCTAAAATATTAACAGATATGCAGCAATTTTGCTCTAAAATAATCAGTATCAAGTTTCAAAATATGCAAGTGACATATTCGTTCTTTTCTACAACCTTCAGCAACCTCCCAAGACCACTTAAACTTCAGAAAGAAGGAAAAAATTCCAGGCAGTTCTTGAAATTAAGACAAGAGCAAATAAAGAACCAAGACAACAATATCTAGCCTCTTAGATTGCATATAGCAGGGGGTCTTCAAACTTGGCCCTTTTATGAGTTGTGGACTTCACCTCCCAGAATTCCTCAGCCAGCGTGCCTGGCTGAGGAATTCTGGGAGTTGACATCCACAACTCATAAAAGGGCCAGGTTTGAAGACCCCTGGCATATAGCTTGAATGCCATGTTTTTTTTTTAATTTATGGGTCTCCTAACAGTTCATCTCCAAGAATATGATGGAACATCTCAGTGTGCGGAGAGGCGATGTAGCTAACCCTAGAACCGGTAAACTCAAATAATACACTATTTTATAGTCTCTCAGCTCCAGACAGCTCCCATTCTATTTTCAAAATGGGGCTAACAACAGCAATCCACTTTTTAGAATTGCTGATATCATATAATATGTTTTGATATATATAGTTTATATTATCCACAGCAAATTCTGTTGCCACCCTCCTCCCTAACTCACACTGTTGCTGCTCCAGAGTCAGCTTATATTTGTAATAGCCATAGAAATCTCCTCCAAACAGAAATGAGAATTTAGGATTTTCCTTTTGCTTCTCCATTGTCATTTTTTCAAACTCAGGGCCATTCCGTGCCACAAACTGAGCCAGTTTGTCAATGACATTGCGTAGTTCTTGATCTGTGAGGAAGGAGTAGTAAGAGTAAGAGCAGATATCACTGTGCATTTATAAATTAAGAAATCCCCTCTACTTAATCACTATATCTATAAAATATGACTTAAGTGCTAAATAAACAGGAAACAGATACCAGTTATACAAAAGAACCCACAACCCATCCTATATAATCTGGCAATGTGTTTCCTAGAATGGCCAGATTGATTCTCCAGTAGGACATATTAAAAAACATTTTAGATGCTGGAAGTCTACTTCACACTCGCATTTCCATTCTATCCTCCTTGCTTCATTTCATCTTTTATTGAAAACTTTTTTTTAAAAAAAAAATACCTTATAATTACCGGTACTGATTTTTTCTGATCAGACTTTAGACTTATATTCTTATAAGAATAAACATGTTGATTGTTTTAAACCCTTAGGTGCTGGCTACTCTAGCACCTTTTCAGAGCTTAGAACCATTCAAACTACTTATCTCTTTTATCAAGAAAAAACAACAGCTGAACAGCTGGTACAGAAATGCTGAACTATTCTTATATTCTGCTTAAGCAGGTCAGTTCCATAACCCCACCTGGCATCTGCCAATCCTGCCAGAGCTGCATCGTGTGCGGATAGACATAACCCAGGAAGTTACTGGTTTTTGAAAGCTACGGGAAAGAGTTAAGGGGGCGTGGCCCTAAGGTTAATGTGGCTTACGTTAAACACTGTTTCTCCCCTATTTTCAATTGTGGGCGCCTCCTGGCCTTGTCAGGCACCGTCATTTCTATTATCCGGACGGAACCCTGGAGGCCCCTGAGCATGTGCGGAGTGCCTAACCCTAAGATTGGTTTCTACAACAAACCAAAAGGCATAACGTTTATTACGAAGAATCCTCCCCACTATCAGGCCAGGTTTGGGGATAGTCAAATCTGCCCTTCTTATCAGACACACACCCACACACCAAATTTGTGCCCCACCACCCTCCGAGATGTCATATAGACTCACCTTCGGGCGGGGGCGGCAGGGGCGGGGGCGGCATCTCCATGGCGGTAAAAGAAAAGGAGGACAGCCACTCAAGAGCGCCTTCGGTCACACAAGGCCCCGCCAGCCGCCGAGCGCTCCTTTATCGTAAAAGGAGACCCGCTTGCGACATCGCTTCCTCCTTCCCTCGAGGTCGCTCTTGACGGCTTCGTCGCCATGGAGATTCTAACTCCTCCTCCCCATCGTTGAGGGCGGAGTAGCCTTTTTCCCCGTGGATGGGCCTCGCGGCGAACCTGGCGATCTTTACCGGCCAATTAGTGGCTTGCGATTGAGCGCGAAGATAGGGGGATCGCCGCTTCATTCACACAAAGCGGCAGCTAGGACGCCTCGCGCGAGGCTCTGAAGCGAGACGATTGAGCAGTGTGCGTTTTTAACAGGGTGGTCAAATACTGCAACTTTCTTCCGCCCCGTTATTTTCACGTCCGCCTAGCGACGTTGGCGGAAATCCCTTTAGTTAATGATACGAAATTACGCTTTGCCGTTGGCAAAACCAGGTCTTCAAGGCTCTTGGGAAAGAGTGTCAAAATAGGGGCCAATCTACTCTCCACAGGTATGATATTCCCAAGGGAGGGAAGCACCACGAAGGCACTTATTCCGGGTCCCACCAAATGGACCTTCTTAGGAGAGGGCATCTGCAACATTCCCTGCCTCCCTGCTTTGGTGGGTCTAGTAGATGTAACCAAGAAAAGAGAGTCTTATTTGCACATTGTAAAATTTGGAAACCGCTCATTTCGCTCAGAGCCAAGAAAACATAGTTAATTCTCTGTCACATTAAAAAGTTACATTTTGGCAATATCTTTGCACCTAAGTGTGTTTTTTTTAAATGGAGGTTTGGATTATGGACTGGTGGGATACAATTAGCACTTTGTATCACAACTGCAGTAACAAGATCAGAAGAAGTCTGTAAGCTTCCTTGTTTTTTCTTTCATAATCACCTAGCCAAATGTGCATTCTTGCTCTCAGAAGGACTGTTTGTAGATGGAGGCCAATAGTGGTCAGGAAAGCTTTCAAATGGTTTACACAACCAACAGGCCTTGATGGGAAAGCCTGCTGCTGTCACTATTCTATTTAGTATTAAGTTTGGCTCCCACCCCAGATGACCTCTCCCTCAAAACCAGCCTTGTCCTGCCCTTTCCTATCCTCTGAAGACACAAACACACTGAATAGGACAACTTATTTTTAACAAGAGAACAAAAGATGCCAGTTACTTCAAGTAGCAGGCAGGGGGAATAGCAATAGCACTTAAGAGTTATATACTGCTTCATAATGCTTTAAAGCTCTCTAAGTGGTTTACAGAGTCAGCATGTTGCCCCCAATCTGGGTCCTCATTTTACTGACCTCAGAAGGATGGAAGTCTGAATCAACCTTGAACTGGTCAGAATCGAACTCTTGGCAAAGGGCTGCAATACTGCATTCTAACCATTGTGCCACCATGGAATGACTGTTGTATCCAAACTGAAGAATGAATGTGGATTTCCAGAGGGAATATACAGGGGAGAAAAGGTGAGTACAGGTAGTCTCCGACTTACAGTTCATTTAATGAAAGTTTGAAGTTACAACGGCACTGAAGTGACTTATGACTGTTTTTCATACTTACAAGTATTGCCGCATCCCTATGATGACATAATTAAAATTCAGATGCTTGGCAAACTTAACTCATTTATGATAGTTGCAGTGTCCCAGGATCATGTTATCAACTTTTGTGATCTTCTGACAAGCAAAAGTTAATGGAGAAGCCAGATTCATTCAAAAAACGTGTTACTATCTTAATAACTGCAGGGATTCACTTAACAACTGTGGAATGAAAGGTTGTAAAATGGGGCAAAATTCAGTTAACTATCTTGCTTAGCAACAGAAATGTGGGCTCAATTGTGGTTGTAGTTGAGAACTACTTATATTCAGGTATGGAATAGATACACTATGTTAGGAAATCATGTTAGTTTTTTACAGTGCTAGCAGAACTATTGCCTTAGTTCCTTTAAAAGCAAACTATTTTCATAATTTCCCAAGTCTTCTTCATAAAAAGGACTGAGTTCTGCCAAAGGAAACAGATCTCCAAATAAGGGCTGCTTCAATAGTGGGGTGCAATACAGCTTAGAAGGAAGTGGTAAAATTGGCGATAACAAGAGGCAGTGCATTGTACTGATTACGGTGCTGGACTGGGACCAGGGAGGCTGAATTCACAGCCAAAGAAGCTCACTGGGAGTAATTCTGGGCTAGTCACCGTCTGTCAGTCCAACCTAATTCACAGGTTGCTCTTGTGAGAATGAAAATAGAGATCTTCATGTGAATTCTTATGAAGTAGAGAAAAAGCAGGCTGGACACTGAACAAATGTTTATCATTTTTTTGTCACAATAATGCATAAACTTGTGGCATATATTAAAATCTGTAATAATAGGAAGACCTGAAGAAGCCAGGTATTGTGGCTTCAGAAAGAATGAAGACCCATGAGTTAAAAGGCAAATCTTAATACAATTCAGGATTTTTAATGATGGGAATTCTGCCTAGCACACATGCCATGGCGCTGGTGGCTAGGAGAAAGATGTTGCCTGTAACCTTTAGAAAAAACACTGTTACTTTCAACATAAATCCAATCAAGGAAGTTTCAACTTTGCAGAATTCAGCTTTATTTACATATTCAATATTTAAAAAGCATAATTAAAACACATTTAGTTTTATCCAATTTTTAAATGTGCAGACTAAAAAAATCATGGTTCCTGTACACTACAAATAAAACCTGAAAAAAGTTCACCTTACTTAGGACAGGAGTGACTGCATTTATTTATAATATATACATCCACGCCTATCAACTCAATTAAATATTTCTTTTTCAGACATTGTCAATGCCATTTACAGATAATTGAGACTTGCCCCTCTGAGAGGCAAGTGACTGACTACACAATCCTAAACATTTATTTGGAAACAGGCAGGTCTATCTTGCCAGTTTGAAAAGAACAGACTTACAAATTATTCAGACTCAAAAGCTGAAGCTGGCTGGGGGAGGGGGCCCTCCATGAGCCCTTTCCCAAGCTGCCCCAATTCATAAATGGCTTAACTTTTTGAAAAGTTTCCTCCCAGGGCACGGGAGGCTTAGAAAAAAAATGTTTTAAGACACAGAAATCAGCAACTAACTTGCCATGCTGCCTAATATACAGTTTGAACCTAACATTTGTGTTCATACAAAGGTTTCAGCAAAGATACTCTAGCACAGTGGTTCTCAACCTTCCTAATGCCGTGACCCCATAATACAGTTCCCCATGTTGTGGTGACCCCCAACCACTTATACATCAGCGGGTGCCAGGGGCGTGGCCAAAGAAAAGGGGGAAAAATGGCGGACAGCCTTGTTTGGCGACCCCCGTGAAATGGTCGTTCGACCCCAAATGGGGTCCTGACCCACAGGTTGAGAACCACTGCTCTAGCAAGATATTAAAGGGCATTTCCAGGATGTGTTGACTCTGCTCTAGTTCTTTTATTTTCTTCATGCTCCTAGTGATTCTTTGCATTACGGTTCTAAAAGTAATTGGGAGTCTTAAGGAAGAGTCTTCAAAAGTTTTAAGGAATTTATCCTTTACTTGAATATTATATTCAAATATTCTTGAACTCTGTAGCATAGCTTTCTCCAATCTGTCTGTTTCATTTCTCATAATTTCTAGTTATCATTGAATTTGGCCATATTGTCTGGGATTGATGTGAAGTAACACCTAACACCAGACTGAGGGAGCCTGGCATATCCTGCACATCGCTACTTTCTAGTATACTTTGGTATTTACAAATCTTGTCAATTCACTTTGACTTCTGCAGGTATCAGAAGCCGTCATCCAAGGCTTTAATTTGGCTATCCAGGGATGTGCATTAAAAAAAAAAAAAAAGGCAAGGGCATATGTAAATAGTCCATAGCATGAATTTTCCAAGCACCAAAAATGTCCCTTTTAGTAAGAGACAAGATATTACTTATTTACAAAAATAAGTTGCTTGTTGAATCTGAGATCTAATCCTTACAACTTTTACAAGCTAGCTCTTTATTGTAGTTGACTGTTTTGCTTTGGGGGAATTAGAGAAATTTTACAACACACTCAAAGCCAAGTACACACTAGGATTTCCAATTACATATATACAAGTGCACGTGCACCCCTCCCCGAGCATACATACATACACGCACTGTTATCCTACCAGTCACCTTCTCCCAAGACAAGTATGAGAATAGATGGTACATCTAAAATTAGTATACCAAGCAAGCCCAGAGTAAATGTAATAATCCAAATATTGAATTTCACATATATGTGAAATTCGCTGGAATTTTTTTTTTTTAAGACTAATGTATGTGCTCTCATCACTTGTAGGGCAAAGTCAGGCCTCACGCTGCTCCCTTCTCTTGGCTCTAACTGGGCTACAACTACTCAAAACTAAAATATTTCATTAGGACTGCACCAGTTACAACCAACACCCTGTTACTAAGACAAGATTCCCAATGTCTCTCACTGCTTCGGAGAGTCTATGGAGAGAAACTTAATCTCTGTCCAACCTGACAGTGTGAAAGGATACAAAGGGACAACATGTGACAACATGCTATAACTTACTGGCTCTTACTGCTTTATATTGTATTTTGGACATTCCTAGTTCATTCAATCACCTGTCTCAGCAAGCCTCTTAAAAATCAAAATTATTATCAGCTTTGCATTGTTACACCATCAATGAGACTGGAATGTTTAATCGATACTAGAAAAAGGCAAATAGACTAGACAATTGGCACTTTATGTTCCCAAGTGAACTATTGTAACATAGGAACCTGCTCTTAACTGGTCCTACACTGGATGAGATCTCAAATCTTTTATTTTATTCTTTTATCATAATTTATAAAAAAAACCACAAAGTATACTCACTATCTTTGGACAAACAAACTTTTGGTGTGGAAGTTAGTTCACACATGTAAGAATTACATCCACTTTTAAATTTTGGGATCCTATGTCCTTCTCAAAAATGAAATAGCTATTTTTATTTTATAAATCTATGTTCCCCCATTGTGACCTGGTTTCCTATTCAAATTGTATAGAAATAATTTTCATTTTGTTTCTATTTAGTGGCCAGGCATGCTCATGTAAGTCCAAGTTTCATTATTTTGTTCTTCTACAGCACCTATCTTAAAAAAGAGAAATGTTCGTGCCCATTTTCTTCCATTTCCCATCTGTTTTCATTGCTTTAGTATTATGAAAAGAGAGGGTCGTGGAGAAGGCAGAAGAGATGAAGCCTAAATAGCTTGGAAGGAAAATAGTGCCCCCTTGTGAAATCCTTTGGGAACAGATCAAGGCCAGAGTAACTCACGCTTACTAGCCCCTGCAACTCCCCATATTGCAGCCTTCATGAGGGGCTTTATTACAGAATGCAAACCTTCTTTTCCAATTGCATATAGCATGGGTGGCTTCCTTTCATCCAGAGCTGCATTCTCTTTTCCACATCCAGATTAGAGAACTTACATCTCTTTAGCTTCCCTTTGCTCAAGGAGAGAGCAGTTTTAAGAAAACCAAATGGACACCCTAAAATGGTGTGCATATTTTGCCTTCCTACCATCATTAGCGTCCAGTCAAATTAAAAAAAAAAACTAGGCGAGGTATTTGGCTCCTGTCTAAGACTTGCTTTCTTGTATAAGCTAAGGGCCTCTGTCTTACCTGGGCAACCCAGAAACATGATTACAAACTCACAAGAGCATAGTGGACATATCACAGACTTCTGCTGAAGATCTCAGCTAATCATAGTGCAAGAGAAAGAGCATGTTGCTCCAATTCTTGAGGCAAAAAGCAAATGTCATCCACAGCAGGAAAGAAAGTATAAAGATTATTACAAAGAGACAACATAAACAATTCAGCACAATATACACAAATTATGCCCAAATCTGACATCAGGATAGACCAATACCCATAGTGGTTTTTTTAAAATGATCCTTGTAAACTAGGAGAGCAGAACCTTCAGAAAATAATTCCTGAAGCTGCATGATACTACTAAGAAACTTTGCCCTATGGAGCAAATTGTATGCTATACAGATCTCTTTGCTTCAACTTTTTGTACGAGGTGAAAAACAAACAAACAAAAAAGGCTTTGAGACCATGATTAAAACCGGAGTGGGAGAGGATTTCAGATCTATATTTGCTACATAGTGCTAGCAGCAAACTCGTGCTATTACATGATTATTTTTTTTAGAATAAATTCATTCATTCTTTCTCCAGAGACTGGAAACTGATTCCCTCTTCTTCTTCATTTTTGACAATCCCTCATCTGCAAACGAAGGCAGCAGATGAGCAACTAAGCTACTCTCATTACAGAATACAACAAACTTTCTCTTTTCCACAAAAAAGAGGGACTGAGAAAAAGAGTTGTTTTTGTTACATTTGGAAAATAACTGTAAATTAATGGCAAAGTAAGGCAGAATGCAATTCAAAAAGATCTAAAACTAGAAGTGAAAGGAAAAACTGGCCACATTTGTGCTACCATGGACAACCAACATGTTCAAGGGCATCTGGCGATCACAGAGACTCGGGGTACAGACTGGGGCTTTTGCATGGCCAAATTTTACCTGATGAAACCCACCCCAGTGGTTTCTTCCACTAGCAAGTAGTGCTTGGCATGCAGTACCCTCTTCTATAGCATTTATCCCTCCATGGGACATATGCACAGACCCCGGCTATTCCTTGAGACTAAATAGTTCACACAAGTGGAAGGGGAAAACTCCATGTGAACAGTTCACATTGTTTAGCAATGAATAAGCCGTTGCTAAATATCATAGCGACTGGAGCTATACAATGTTGGATAGTTCTGCCGGGAATACTGGAAGTGATCCATGGGGACATTGCCTCTGCTGCTACCATACTGGAAATCGCCCTGATGTGCAAAGGAGGCAAGTCCATTCTGAGACTTTTCTGGGGTACTCCAGCGCCGATCCAGGTTTGTTAGATCTCCAGTTGTGATAGGAAGGAGCTGCTTTTTTGCTTCCTGGTTTGCATCATATTTGGTCTGTAAGAAAATTACACTATCAGCCTCAGAAATCAGCATATCTAATAAAGTACAAACAGTCTAAAGACAAGGCACCCATTAACTATCTTGAGAAATATTAAATGAGAAACTATTAAATTGCTCTTTCCATTTATTAATGAGAAAGCACTAACTGCTCCCATTGTTGATTGATAGGATTAAGAATTCACCTCAGAATGTAGAGGATTGAATAAGGAATCCATATGGTGGACAAATTGGTGGGCTTCCATCTTTGCAAAAGGAAGGAGCTATGTCTGAGGAGCAACATGGAAGTATTGCCTTTGGAGTCTTGGAGCAAATAAGAAGTCCTAACAGGGCAAGATGTAAGCTCTAGCCTGATTGGTCAGTTCATTTGACCTGTAGAGTCTCAAATGAAGCCCCTCCCCACTATTACATCATAAACTGATCTTGTCAATATTCCTGTAAGACAGGGGTGTCAAACTGCCAGCCCGCAGGCCGGACGTGTCATCCGGAAGCTGCGCCCACCCCATTGCTGGCAATGGGAAAACTGTCCCGATTCATCTCACGACATCACGTGACATCGCGAGTTTGACATGTCTGCTGTAATAGAATGAACTAGATTGATTCCACTTTGGCTAGATAGGATCAGAGAAGCAAACTGGGTGTGACCATATCTTATTCAGAGATAGGATTTTTTTTTTTCCTTTTGTCAATTTTGAGAGGAAAGCAGTTATTTGCCTTTTTCTGTGGGTACTGAACCATAACTTCAGTTATATTAACTGAGTTGTTTTAATGTGGTGGACTGTTAAGATTTCAGGCCACTAAGGAAGCCCTCAAAGCACATCTAGCTTATATAGTGCCAAAATTTCTTTGCAATATTTTGAAACAACATATCACCTCCTTCACATTAAATTCAAATACCACCCTTAAATAAGAGGGGAGAACTATTCATTCATGGACTGTTAAAGGCCATTTTTGCTCTCAGGACTGGGGAACTCTGTTTCATTTGATCATTTTATCCTACTCATCTTTGTAACAATAGCTAGTCTTGTAGTAATTTTTATATTTAAATTGTTTAACATTTAAACTGTAGCTTGTGAGGAATCAATCTAACATTTGGTTTGTCTTTACAACATTTGTCAGAATTAACTTTGTCTTTGTTTTCTTCCTAAACATTTAATGCATACACTGTTTAGTTTTCTATCTCAAAACTGTGGAGAACCATCTTGTTGATTTTGCTCCATTGAGATTTGGCAATGTTGAGGACCAATAGAAGAGAATATTTGTAGCTCAAGACTGAATTAATCTCTGAGCTTGGTTGTTTTCTTGCAGACATTTCATTACCAAACTAGATAAACATTATCAGTGATGATGTCACCTGGTTTGGTAATGAAATATCTGCAAGAAAATAACCCAGCTCAGAGAATACTAAGGACTCCGTATGTTGAGGAGCTACAAAAAACAGAGAATTATGGACTACTTTTGGCTCTGTAACCTTATACAACCAAAACTTAAACTAGAGCTTCATTCACAGAATAATACTTGAGAAATCAGGAGATAAGAATCCACAGACATATACCCCTTTCTTAAATCATTAATGCAACTCAAAAGTTAACTAAAACTCATTTTGTTTATTTTGAAGAAACAGAAAATGAATCCTGAGCTAGTCCCACCATTTAAAAAGTTAAATCTCAGGTGTAGTTGAATTCCAGCCCGAGTTCCAATCAGAGTTCAGAGAATGCTTCAACTATATTCATTTTTCATTCACTGTTTGGCCTGGGGTCAAAGGAAGACTTCCCACTGGCTACATACCTTGTTGTACAAAAACACTCCCAGGATAGCAGTCATCATGCCCAGAACATTGGTGGTGGTGACAGGGTTGCGAAGCATGATCAGGGAGACACTAATGACCGTGATCCTTTTTGTTGCATTTGCAACAGAATAACTCAGAGGGCTGATAAGGTTCAGGATGCTGAAGGCGATGACATTCTGGGCAAAATTGCAGAAGCCACTGATGGCCAAGAGAAGCATGGTCCATGGCCAATGGGCCATTGAACTCTGTGGGAGAAACAGTGTGTGAGACATCAGCTCACTTAAAAGGAACAGAAGCAGCTACCACATATTGATTGTAATAATTGGTTGAGTGTAACTTTTTCTCTAATTAAGCCCAAGGATTCCTAGCTTTCAATTCCAAACATTGCTTTTAGAAAATCAAGTTTTATAAATTGAAAGTGTGTGTGTGTGTGTATATATATATTTATATTTATTTTCTCTGAGGTTTTCGCGGGTGTTTGTATGTAGGTCTTTGGTTATTCGGGTTTTCTCCAGCATAAAATTGGAAGTGTCTTGGTGACGTTTTGACGAAGTCCCATTTGTCATCTTCAGGCTGGTGTTTTCGGCTTCGTGCTTCCAATTTTACGCAGGAGAAAACCCGAATAACCAAAGACATACATACACACACACACACACACACACACACACACACACACACACTTACCTTGAGTATTTTTTGATGCACCCTGTCGGCCCAAATATGGGAGAAAGAAATCTTCTTTCTTTTTCTTTTGCCTGCATCAGCTCAATCTAGAGCCATCCATTGTTAGCAATCTAAAAAAATGTAGGCGCTGGCTTGTTTATAAATGTCTTTCCCACTGATTCATTTGCACCTTGATGATGTTGGCAGGAGCCAACGAAAGCTAGGTCTGCTTTTTAAAAAACTTTTAAATGTTTTATATTTAAACTTTTAATGTTTTAACTTTTCCTGGTACTCACGTTTTATTTCTTAGTATGCATACACCCAGGAATCACGGTTTTCTCCCGCGTCTGCTCGAAGCTGAAAACACCAGCCTGAAGATGACGAATGGGACTTCGTCGAAACGTCACCAAGACACTTCCAATTTTACGCGGGAGAAAACCCGAACAACCCAAGACCTACATATGTGTGTGTGTGTGTGTGTGTGTGTGAATATATGAATATGAATATGTATGTATGTATATATGAATATGAAACATGCTTCTTATATTCCTTCTTTAAAACAAAATAAAGGTGCAATCTAAATTCAGTAGTTTATGAAGATATTTTTTTAAATATTTAATCCTAAATGGCTGTAAGCAATAAAATACTACAAAACTTACAGCATTTAAATAAATATAACATTATTGCATAATTATATCTGAATATTAGAATATTAGGATTCTAGAATTTAATAGCAGCATGGATTGGCTGTGAATTTTATTTTGAAGTCTTAAATGTTCCCCCCCACAAATTTTATATTTCTTCCAATATAGTATAGGGGTATGAAATTGAAAGCAGCAAAGAAAATAATTAGAATAACAAATGATGTCATTTTAAAAGTTGTACATATGAGTAATAAATAACAAATCCAAATACTTTCCCCATAAAGCATTTTTTTTAAAAAAAATTCTGAACTTGAGCAGTAGGAGCTTATATAATGAACATTAAAGCATAATATGCTTTGCTTTCAAGGGCATAAAGCTATTTTAGAGTAGGCATTTACATGATGTACCCATCTGCAACTCCTTAAATAAAATGTAATTTTTCCCAGTAATCATGTTTTTAAAGCATCTTTTTGCCTCTGAATCCAAGTCACTGTATAGTTCACCAATTGTTGACATAAAACTATTTTTTATATACACTATAATTATATACACTATAATTAATTTAATGTCAAATAAAAAAAATCAGTACTAATAATATCCTTAGATATAAACGGTTGCTGGAATTGGGTATGTCTAGTTTAATGAAGAGAAGGACCAGGGTGGACATGATAGCAGTGTTCCAATATCTCAGGGGCTGCCACAAAGAAGAGGGAGTCAAGCTATTCTCCAAAGCGCCTGAGGGCAGGACAAGAAGCAATGGATGGAAACTAATCAAAGAGAGAAGCAACCTAGAACTAAGGAGAAACTTCCTGACAGAATTAACCAGTGGAACAACCTGCCCCCAGAAGCGGTGAATGCTCCAACTCTGGAAGTTTTTAAGAAGAGACTGGACAGCCATTTGTCTGAAATAGTATAGGGTTTCCTGCCTGAGCAGGCGTTTGGACTAGATGATCTCCAAGGTCCCTTCCAACTTTATTATTATTGTTGTTATTATTATTATTATTATATCCTTAGATATAAATGTCCTCTATTTTTTAGCATTTTATTCATAAATTATCTCTTAGTAAGAGCATAAATGAAAAAGCCATGACAACTGAATCATCAGTTTGAAAGTTGGTCTATTAAACTAAAACAGTCTTGTGGGAAAGGTTTGCTTTTATATAATTAGAACAAATTAAATACACCTTTTTCTATAATAGACTGAAATTTTGCTTGGTTACTCTGTTACTTGTTTAATGACCAGTTGTTCAGGGACCAAAGTTATGATGATACTGAACAAGTAATAGTTACGAACAGTCTTTATATTTACACCAGCTGCTGCATCCCCAGGGTCACCTGATCACCATTTGCAACCTATTTTCCTGGCTTCTTACCAGGTCAATCAGGAAGCCAGGAAGAGGTCACAAAAGGTGACCATGTGAAGATCTCACTTAACCTGTGATGATTCACTTAATGACTGTAACTGCGACTGCCAGAATTTCTGTTACTAAGCAGCAGTCATGTGACATTATGCTTTAGAACCATGTTGCTGAGCAACAAAAATTCTGATCCCAATTACTGTCATTAATCAAGGATAATATTCTCTGCTATTAATATCAGAGAAATAAGGCCAGCCAGCTTTCAAAAAAAGTTGAAAAAAGATATAGTTTTATTATTGAATAACCAGTTCTTTTAGAATTACTTAATCTGTTAGCATACTGCGCATAATTCACCAGATGCAGCTCAAATTTTAAGTGCAAACAAATAAGTAGACTCTAAAGTACTTTAAAGGATGAAATAGTTATCAAGATCTTGCAAGGGTAGCTGGAATTTCTAAACTGGAATGGGAAACATGGCACTATTCTGATACCATAGTCAATAATTCTTTCTAGCTGCATTGGGTACTGTTTATTTACTTATGGCCACCCATCGCTAGGTGACTATACTATTTAACACAGCAGTTATCTTAGTGGGCACCTATTTGCTAAAAAAAAGTAGAAATTACTGACAAATTTAAAATAATGTAATTTTGGTAAGGAATTACTTAAGATTTAGATCTTTCTTTCCTCAAAGAGTTCACCAGTACTTCAATTTCAGCAATCCATTTGAGACAGGCTAGCCTGTCATTTGACCAAAGTTAATACATTGATAAAATCCATAAAAGGTGAAAACTCAAAAAGCATGAACAAAAAATACATTTTGAGCTCCCTTGTAAAGCACAATAATAAGACACCTCCCTCAACTCCAGCAACAATTGCCAGAAAAAAGCAAGATTGTTTGTGTTATACTGTCTATGCCTTTGGCAGGGTCTGCAAAAGTGCCTAGTTAATTACCCAAGCTATTATGAAAAAAATCTATTTTTGCAGTCGCTAAAAATCAACAATGACTTCATGGCACATAATCAAAAGCTGCATAAAGCTATAATACAGTGAGTGCCTATAACTGATTTAGAAAGCGACTGGGAAGCAGTGCAAATGTTTCAGCACAGTGTTGATATGGCAACACCTTTGTAGCCACATTTTGAGCAGTTGCAATTTCCATACTCTCCAAGGGCTTCCTTTAGTACATAAACTGCAATAGCCTTTGCGGTTACCAGCATCTGGATCACCAATACCAGGTCTCCATTTCCAGAAAGAGGCCCAATTTGTTGTTCAAATAAGCTGATAAAAGGCCCCATTGCCATTGATGTCCTGTCCATGCCAGATTCAGGAAGGACCCCCAGACTGTGAACCTGGACCTTCAGGGAGAATACAACCCCATCCAAAATAGGCTTATCTCCTGAATCTTGAAGTTCAGCCCCTGGATCAGCAACAACTCCATCTTGATTGGTTTCAGCTTCACCTTGTTCTCCCACATTCAGTCCTTTACATCCTGGAGACTTGCAGAAGCTCTTGAGACATCCAACCCTGAGCTCGCAGGAAAGGAGAAGTATAGCTGAGTATCATCAGCATACCGACAGTGACTAGCTCCAACCCGCACATAATCCTTCCCAGCAGCGTCACACAAATATTAAATATTATCAAACTTTGCATGATCTGCAGGAGAATCCCAGGGGTTGAGCAACAGTCTCTCATAAAACTATCTTGAAGTGAAAGGAGCAGAATTACTGAAAACAGGGCCTCTAATTTTCAGCTTTTTCAATAGTTCCAACAGACTGGCATGACCAATAGGGTCAAAAGCCACCAAAAAGGAAGTTATAGGAACATCAAGAGGACTGCACTTTCCTTCTCTCTTTCCCCCAGCAATGGCTTACTTTTTATTGCAGATTTCCCTGTTTATTTTTAGATTGTTTAACAACATAGCAACTAAGGTACAACACATGTATAAATTTCAATAACTGAAAAAGGTATTTAGGTAAAAACAAACATTATTATCCCGAATCTTTCCATCTTTACACTATTCATTTTCTACAATTGGCTGAGTTCTTCTAAGTACCCTTCTTCTCATCCACCAGAAGACTACAAACTCTATTGAAGAACAAAAGCTCAAAAAATGTCTACAAATTTCAATAATTCTATCAACCCGTCAGTCAGTTCAGTTTTAGAGCTCTCTTGGTTTTATTGCTAATATGCTCAAAGTCCTTCACAATGATCAAAATTTGGGTTCAACAACAGTTCTAAACAGCTAAGGTAAAAATATGGGAGGGCTGCAATAGGAAACATGATAGAAATACCAGCAACAGGAACCTCTTGACTCCAGGGGCATACTTCAAGACAAAGGCTTTTTTCTACAGACTTAGTTAACGCTTACCAAATCATTTTCTACCAGGAATGATGATAGATCAACCAGCACCCATGTTGGGATCATGAAAAACACAGCATGGCACCCAAGGATGTTCAACAGACGGAGATGGTGTATTCGTGAATCTCTTAAAACCTATAAGAACGAAGAATTCAGAAACAGCTCCTTCTTCAAGAATCATTTCTTTTAGTTGCTTCTCTTCCTGCAAACCAAAATGTAGTTGCTATATCTCAAACACACAATTTTTTTACCTGTGTGCAACTGAACACAATGGCAGTGATTAAGTCAATTTTTCTAATTTGATGATCTACAAATAAATTGCATCTCAGCTTTCAGAATTCCCAGCCTTCATAGCTGTTGGGCAATGCTGAGACTGTAGAAAGAGTGCAGAGAAGAGCAACAAAGATGATAAAGGGACTGGAGGCTAAAATATATGAAGAATGGTTGTGGGAACTGGGATGTCCAGTCTAACAAGGAGAAGGACAAGGGATGACATAATAGCAGTTTTCCAATATTTGAGGGGTTGCAACAGGTCAACCTATCTTCAAAACAGATAGGACAAACAGTAATGGATGCAAAGTAATCAAGGAGAGACCCAGCCTAGAGCTAAGGAGAAATTTCCTGACAGTGAGAGCAATTAATCAGTGGACCAGCTTTCCTCCAGAAGTTGTGGGTGCTCTAGTACTGGAGGTTTTTAAGGACATTTTTCCGGAATGGTATAGGATCTCCTGCTTGAGCAGGGGGTTGGACTAAAAGACACCTTCCAACTGTTTTTCTATATTCTGTATAAATGAAATCCTATTTGAATCAGTTCAAATAATAAAATAAAAAATTGAACAATCTAGATCAGCGGTTCTCAACCTATGGGTCGCGACCCCATTTGGGGTCGATCGACCATTTCACGGGGGTCGCCAAACAAGGCGATCCGCCATTTTTCCCCCTCAGGGGGCGCCGCCGCGCATGGGGGCGCCGCCGCACATGCGCGGCACGTTTGTGTGACGGGGGTCGCCGTCATACAAACGTTGAGAACCACTGATCTAGATAATACTAGCATCTAATTACAAACTAATTGGGTGATTTGTGTGGGAGATTTCTTACAGAGAGAAGCAAAGGCAAGGAAAACTGAGGGTTGTTGTGCTGATTAATAATGAAATCCAGTGAACCATCTTCATTTGAAGACCTTTTGTCAGTATAAATAATGTGTGGGAGGAGTGAGGGATATACAGGTAGTCCTTGACTTACGATCATAATTGTAATAATAATAATAGTAGTAAAGTTGGAAGAGACCTTGGAGGTCATCTAGTCCCCAAAATTTTGTTGCTAAGTAAAACATTTGTTAAGTGAATTTTGCTCCATTTCAGTTTTCCATATATAAATTGGTTAACAATAGCAGCTTAGACTTTGTGTACCTCAAAGAAGTTACTGAGTTTCTACGCCATTATCATCATTTAGACAGCATTAGAGAATATGAATTTGAAATGCGAATATATTGCAGGTTTGTTACAAAGATCATTAGTGCAGAAATATCAAGTATATTTGCAAATGTTATCGATGTGCAAAAATGTACATTAAAACAAATAAACACAGGGTACCTTCTTAGAGAAAATATTCTGAAGTGAGAAGCAGAGAGTTGCAGCCAGGGCACTGATAAGTCCCCAAGTATCAAATGAGAGTTCTGTAATTGTAGCCAGCAGGACTCCACCAATAATAGGGATGAGGGATAAATATACCTGACAGAAGAAAAAAATCTACTTATTTATTTATTAAATTCATTTGTGCCCATCTCACTTCAAGACAACTCTGGGCAGCTTACTTATATGGGACAGCTTATATGTTTCCCAAGTTCAGGTGGTGAGAAAGTTTATGCAAGTCTCACAAAACTTTCTTTCCAAATGTTTTCTTTTTCCAAATAAACATTTCAATGGAACAATTGCAGAGAAGCACCAAATATTTCACCCCTCTGACTACTCTTATTTGTCTTACCTTGGTTGTCTGCTTTTCCTTCATGATGATTCTTGAGAGGAGAACAACCCAAATAGGCATTGTTGCTTTAACTGGAAAGAGGAGGAAGGAATTAAAGTGAGAACAGAGACCAGCAACAAGAACTGTGAAATAAAAGCTACTTAGAAACTGATATATTGCATGCAGATATTACTCAACACAGTATAATGCAGTATAAATAACTGCTCAACTGTCACTCACATATGCAAAAGCTTCCATGGTGAAACTGTGGCACTACTCCCTGATACTTTCTCCCATACTACTTCCTTTACAACTAAACTTCGTACTAACTAAGCTTCCTGCTATTTTGAAAAAATAAGGACTGCTGTTCTAAATAAAATAAAAGATACAAAAATCTTGCATGAACACAGCAATTTTTAATATGCAATTAAACAAGAATTAAATAACAACTACAAGAAGCTTACAGTGTGAATTACAGGTAGTCCTCGACTTACAACAGCTCATTTAGTGACCATTCAAAGTTACAACGGCACCGAAAAAAGCGACTTGAGTGTTTTTCACACTTATAATCATTGCAATATCCCCATAGTCATGTGACCAAAATTCAGATGCTTGGCAATTGATTCATATTTATGATGGTTGCAGTGTCCCAGGATCATGTGATCCCCTTTTGAAACTTCTGACAAGCAAAGTCAATGGGGGAGTTGTTAGTAACATGGTTAAGTGAGTCTTAAGTGAGTCACTTAACAAATGTTTCACTTAGCAACAAAATTTTGGGGTTCAATTGTTGTCGTAAGTCAAGGACTACCTGTATACCCCTCACTCCCCCCACACATTATTTATACTGCAAAAGGTCTTCAAATGAAGATGGTTCACTGGATTTCATTATTAATCAGCACAACAACCCTCAGTTTTCCTTGCCTTTGCTTCTCTCTGTAAGAACTATCAGGCATTCTGGTTGAACCAGATCATTGGCAGTAAAAGCTCTTTTTTTAAAAGAACAATACCATACCCTCCAGGCTTGTTTTTTCTTCCTCAATATAAATAAGGAAATTCTCCTGAAGTTCTGCCAACATTCTACAGCCTATCAATCTAATGAACACTGGAGACAGCATATCAATCTAATGAACACTGATACCTCTATACCAGCGGTTCTCAACCTATGGGTCGTGACCCCATTTGGGGTCGAATGACCATTTTACGGGGGTCGCCAAACAACGCGATCCGCCATTTTCCCCCCGCATGGGGGCGGCACCGCGCATGCGCAGCGCATGCGCGGCGCGGCCGTGTGACAGGGGTCGCCGTCACACAAACGTTGAGAAACGCTGCTCTATACAGAGAAGCCCTCCTTCTACTCTTTGCAAATCCACTTGTGAACCAAAGTAGTTTAGCACTGAACTACAAGAGAGAAATACAAGTAGTCTTTGACTTACAACACTTTAATGACCTTTCAAAGTTACAAAGGTGCTGAAAAAAGTGACTTATGACCATTTTTCACACTTACGATTGCCGTGGTGGTGTGGGCAAAATTCAGACGCTTGCAACTGGTTCATATTTATAACGGTTGCAGTGTCATGGTTGCAGTGTAAAGTTGTAACTTTTTGTGACGTTCTGGCAAGCAAAGTCAATAAGGAAGTTAGATTTGCTTAACAATTGTTACCAATTTAACAATTGCAGTGGTTCATTTAACAACTGTGGCAAGAAAGGTCATAAAGTGGGGCAAAATTCACTTAGCTGTCTCACTAAGCAGCAAAAAATTTGAGCTTAATTGTGTTGTAAGTCGAGGACTACCTGTATCAAGATTGCAACTCATCCTTGGTCACAAATGTTCACTGGATAATATTAGGCCAATCGTTACCTCTTAACCCACCTTACCTCACAAGGCAGTTGTGGGGATAACAGGAGACAGCATAATGCACTGCTACACTTTGTGATTACTGTGGTAGTCAGAGTGTGGACTGGCACCAAAGATACCCAGCTTCTAGTAATAACCCTTAGCCATAGAAGCTTACTGGTTATTTTAGGCCAGTCTTTCTCTCAGTTCAACATGCCCCACAAGATTATTACTGTGGAGAAAATAAGAGGAAATCCTACATATGTTATCTTAAGTTGAACAATGTGCAAATTATAAATAAATTGGAGAAGAGCTTTCTTCTTTCTCAGCACCAGGCCCAGAAAAAACGTTATTTCCATAAAAGCATGTCCGCAGGCAAAAGTTTCACGATCCCTCATATCTAAAACATGAAAAAAAAGTAAAGTGCATCTCCCTCTCCCAACACTTTTTTTTTTTTTTTTTTTTTGGAAATCTGAAAGCACTCCGCATACTGACTAGACTAGAGCTCCCTCCCTTCCCTTCGCGCCCCATCATACCGGTGTGAGCGTAGGAAACTGGGACGCGCCAAAGGGAGACGTGGGCCGAGACGGAGGCCAAGTACTTGCCAAAAGCGAGCGGAAGGATGAGGCGCGGATATGCGCGAGGCGGTAGCTGGGCAGGGCTGGCGGCGGGCACGCGCCAGGCCCGCAACAAGGGGGGCAGGAGCGCCACCAGGCCCAGCACGTGGCAGAGCGAGACCGTCACGGGCCGCGGGAATGTGCCCAACAGCACCTTATTCACCACATTCCCGCCAGCGCTCAGCGCGTACCATGCCAGGCAGAGCGCAGGCACTCGAAACAGCCCCGTGGATCCGCGGGGGGGCGTGCCGGAGGGGCTGCCGGGCGAGGGGGGAACGGGAGGGGGAAGGAGGCCAGGAGGTGGCGGCGGCGGCGGCGACACCATCCTCAGGCTGGGGAGAAGAGCTGCACCGGTGCCTCCGCAGCCGGGCCGGAGCCGCTTTGCCTTTTTCCCTCGGACGCGTCACTTCCGTACAGCCGGCGGAAGCGGAGTGCCATAGCGACGGAAGCCGGGGAGACGGCTACGTTCAACTTCAGAAAAAGCGAAGTCCTCAGTGGGTGGTCCTGGCAACGGGGAAGGCGCGGGCTCGTTTGGCTTTCTTTGCGGTGAGCGGGAAAGCTCGCGCACTTGGGGGGTGGGTGAGGTGGGAGAGCGAGAAATGACTACGCTGCTGTAGCGCCCAACGTTTTAGGGATTTTATCACCGATAAAATTAGGCTCTCGGTTTTCTCCTAGCACAGTGTTTCTCAACCTTGACAATTTTAAGCCAGCAATGCTGACTGTGGAATTATGGGAGTTGAAGTCCACATGCCTTAAAATTGTCAAGGTTGAGAAACACTGCCCTAACATAACGTACGGAGAGGGCACAAGCTCGATCTCTTCCAAGCCCGGATCCCCACAGTACTCATTTTTCACTTGCACTTGCGTACCGATAGTCGTCGACCTACAACAGTTCACTCAGTGACCATTCGAAGTTAAACAGACTCTGACAAAAGTGACTTATGACCATTTTTTATACTTATGACCATTGCAGCATCCTCATGGTCACATGATTTACATTCGGATACTTGACAAATGACTCACATTTATGACAGCTGCAATGTCCTGGGGTCATGTGATCCCGTTGCAGCCTTCTGACAAGCCAACTCAATGGGGAAACCAGATTCCCTTAACAAACATGTTACTAATTTATCAACTGCACTGATGCACTTAATAAATGTGGCAAGAAGAGTCGTAAAATGGGGCAAAACTCACTTAACACATTTCTCACTTAGCAACATAAATTTTGGGCTCATTTGTGGTCGTAAGTTGAGGACTACCTATATTTCTACATACCATCAGGCGCTGCAGATGTAATCACAAAGCATCGGTCTCAGTGCTGCTGCCAAGGCTCGTTCTGGGAACTGAAGTACAGTATCTCTAAAACGAGAAGGTAACGGGCTGACAGTGCTCACCTCTGCATCATTTAGGCTGGGTGTGTATGTAGCTGCTGGTGGTTACTCTTGTACAGCCAACAAAACATCGCTTATCCTCGAGTAATGTACACAACAATCATTGAAGCAGGTCTCAGAAAATAAAAGTCCCAAACATGAATTTACAGACATCTGGTATCAAGGATTCCACTAGAATTTGCACAAAGCAAAAAAAGTGATTCTGTTTTTAAACTCAGGATAAAACGGCCTCACAAGGAATATTCCAAGTTTGCTGGATTCTGCAGAATAAAATTCAGAATTTCTTTAGTGTCTTGTTCCATCCTCAAACAAAATTCTTCGTATCAAAGTCAGAATACTCACATTGGCAATTTAGATGTCAAAATATTTTCAAGTGTTTTGCACACCCAAATATTTCATGTTTCTGTCAAAGTAGACTGGGCCTGAGAAAAGCATTTGCCATACCAGTACAATTCAAAATATTATTTCAATTACACCTTTAAGTGTTTGATTGTGTTCTCAAACCTAAAAGCACAATTACAATAAACCTATAACTCATGCTTGCCCCTCCTTTTCTATATTGTCTGGAGTGGAATGGGGAGTGGGATAAAGTCCTGCAAACGATACCTTGGCGAAGATTCTTAAGTCCCCAAGATGTCTTAAAAGTCTCTCTTTGCATGCTAACCCCCTTCCTCTGAATTTTCTTAATTTTACTTTGCTAAATTGCCCATTTTTCTTTTGCTGCAGTGAATTGGGTATAGCTATTAGTGAAACATCCTATTTTTTTTTAAGGTTAAACGACACAGATGCTATACTTGGGACTTCAGGTCAGGTTTCTTTTTTAACATACTGTACACATTTCTATTTTTTATTTAAATTTCTTTTGCCTTGTTTCCCCTTTGTTTTATGGTTTTATTTATTTTTGCAATATATATACATATTGCAAAATAGCAATGGCCCAAAATAAATAAATAAAAATATATTTGACAATATAGCAATGGCCCAGTATAAAACAATGTACACAACCTTCATTCCTTCTATCCCATGTCTCCCAGTGAATTAGAATCTAATTTTCCCAAACATAATCCAACACCAGCAGCACTTGCCACACTGACTTACTAAAAAATTGAATCAGCCTATGTACAAAAGCTAAGCATGAATGTAAAGAAAATAAATTTAAAGTTAGCTAACGGCAAACAGAGGAATCAGACCAAGAGAAGTAGAATATTCTGACGATACCTCCATGCAGGGATTGTGAGTTAGAAATACCACATCAGAACTATCCAAAGAACAGATTTACATTACTTAGGAAACCACATCAGTGGGTCTCAATGTGATGACCAAACCTAGAAACTAAATTATTTTAAGAAAAAAGCCTTAATATCCATTCCATATTCAACATGGAGTGAGCACTGGGTGCTCTATCTATTCATGATTCACAGTATCATTCAAACTTTGAAGTTAGAGTTAACAAGGTTATTTCTTCTGGCGTCTGAAACGAAAATGAGAACATCCACAAGAGTTTCCCCCAGCACTCTTGTCTTCTCCTTTCTCTCTCATGCATATGGGAGAGGGTGAAATAGGAAATAGAAGAGATTACAGGGAGAGGGTACTGGAAGTAGTTTTCTCTCACACCACCTGTTAACTCTGATCAGCCATTGTGGAATTTTTACAACAGCATTTTTAAAAAACCAGGAATTGACAGCCACAAAAATAGCTGAGATACCAGCTCAGGTCATTGCTCCCAGGATAATTATACCAGCCTTCTTTGTTTGATCATCTGGAAATCAGATTACCGGGTGAGTAACTAACCCACAGTAGTGTTAGACTGTTAGGCATCTTGTGCAAACACACCCAATTATGATGGAGCTACTGGTAGCAGGAATATTGCACACTTTATGCCGAGGAAAGGTTGTGCAGTCAGCAAAGGTTAAAAGGTCTTATCTGGTCCCATGGTCATATATTTGTTTTTCTGTTCCTACTCTAGTAGCTTTAATTAGATGACCTTAATTTTTGGAAAAAAATATCAAAAATGACAGGAAGACTTCATTCATTGGATTGTTGCATAGAAACTGATGCAGAAAATAAGGGGAAGAAATAAGAAAGCAGTATTTTGACAGAGATCTAGAGCTTATTTTTCCATGTCTATAACTGCTTGCAAAAAACCTCAGTTTCTTCACGGGTGAAATTGGCTGGAATAAGTCAGACTGGATTTCTGGCTGTTCTATTCCAGCTTTAAAGGCACAGAGGATAGTAGTAAAAATCTGCCTGAGGAAAAGGAAGGCGGTGACTCTCTAGATTACTCTCAGCAGCCACAGTCAACTGTGTCAATGTTGCAGAATACTGAGAATTGTACCTGAATGTCACAAATTCCCCTCCCTAGCAAAAGATAAAATACATCTCACTGTATGAACTAGAACTATATATGCCTCACTGAAATATGTCTGTTTAGGGAAACATTTGCTGCTTTATTTATAGAGACTGCATATTTGTTGTCTAGAACTTGGTACAGCATGAAAAGATTAAAAAGACCTAATACTGTATATGCTTCCGACCTACCCAAATAAAACTATCCACTGAGAAAGCAAAGTCCAACTAATTCAAAAACAGGTCAACACATCCCCTTCCAGGTGCATTGAACTGCAATTCCCACAAACCCTGTCATCAATCATGCTAAGACCTAAGACCAAGAAGAGTTACACAGAATGCAACCCCAGGCACAGATTTCAGCCTTCCGAGACCTTCAATTTATGGATGAATATTTTTTTAAAAAAATCTCTTGGGCTGAAGTTCAACATTTGCTTGATCACATTTTACTAGCTAGCCAAAGGCTGAGTACATAAATTGCCCTTTTTTCCTGACAAAATGTCAGAGATTTTGCAACAATAATACACATCATGATTGTCATCGAATTAAAGAAGTTATGTGATTAAATACTCAAGAATAGTTTAAATCTAAAGACACACTTTGCTTTGACATTGCAGTGGAAAAGCTGTGCCTCTCAAGCTATTACTGGACTAAAACTTTCCCTGCCACAATTTCTAGTAATTGGTGATGAGAACACAGTAGACTGGAGATCTAAAATATAGATGATATTAAATAAATTATATAGCACTTTTTATAGACAATTGCAAAATGCTTTGCAAATTAAAATACAGGTAACAGGTAACTTGTAACTATAATTGGGCCTAGAACATCCGCTAAGCAATGCAATTGAATCATGCCTGATTTTACAACTTTTAGCATGGTTGTTAAATGAATCACTGTGGTCATTAAGCCAATCCAGCGTCTTCCATTGTCTGTTGGAAGGTTGCAAATGGTGATCATGTGACCTTGGACACAAGTCCTTACATTTAGGGTCATTTCAGTGTCCCCATGGTCATGTGACCAAAATCTAGGCACTTCCTCAAGTATTTAAAGTTGCTGAAATGCCTAGATTTTGGTCACATAAAGGGGACACTGCAATGGCCGTAAGTGCATGGACTGGTCATAAGGCATTTTTTAAATCACTGTCATAACTATGAACAATTATTAAACGAATGTTGCAAGTCAAGAACCACCTGTATAAAACAAGTCGTTATCTTCATTTTTCCTGGATATTGCAAGTGAGATATTGCTAAGCATGGTGAGGTCCATGCAGCTGAGGTCCTTCTGGAGACAATAACCAAATTGGGAATTTGACTGGAATGTTAGAATCATGCTCAAAAAACATGCAGGACCAGGACGAAGACTAAATTTGATTTAATTTAAAGGTACACTTAATTAAATATGAATTAATTAAATGCAATTAATATTACACCCCATATATTTAATAACTCTTCTCCCACTAACACACTAAACAATTTAGCAGCTCTTTTGAAGAGTTCTGGGAGCTGCAGCCAAGGCAGGAGTGGGAGGAGAGGATATACAGGACCCCATGGCCTCAGGTTATGCATCTCTAGTCACAGACTTAGTGGTGCAGAAAATATACATTTTATAAGTTTAATCTTTTAATTGTCCAACAGGAGACAAGAAGAGCTCCGCTTCCACTTGCGACCCCATTTATAAACCCTCATCTGTACCTGGCCATTTCTGAAATATTAGAAAGTGACAGTGTATTTTGTGCAAATTTTTTTATTTCCACATTTATATCACAATGTGTCCACTGAAAGGACCAATAGCAAAGTTGCTCTCTTCTGTGCCCAAGAACACAGAAGTCTAGTTACTGTACATTCACTAAGGCTGTTTTTGCAAGTCGCTTTTGTGATGGATATCCATAAGGCAAACAATATCTAAAGGAATGGTAACAAGTATATTTCCAGCATACAAACAGGCGTCTGTCTCCCCCTTCACAGGACATTTACAAACTAGTAGCACCCTCAGTACAAGTTGGAATTTTCTTTGTTAAACAGAAAAAAACAAAAACAAAACAAAAACAAAAAAACCCCCATTTTTTCCCCCTGCTTTCCCGTAGAAAATCTGTAGAAAGGGGTTAACGTGCTTAGGCTGCTGCTGCTGCTGCTGGGAGAACTGTGAACACTTTTTGCAGCATTTCATGGATCTGAATTGAAATTGAAACCAGACTACGCCCTGTGAAAGTCTACGGAATGCTGAGCTGAAGGTGGCCATCTCTCTCTCTCTGGCCCTTCCTGCACTGCAGAGCACACATCATTGCAATCCACATCTCCACATCAGGGGGACTTTTGAAGAGACCCATAGTTTTGCACAGTTCATTTTAAAACATCTCACTGCCATATTATTCCTTTTTAAGAAAATCAAATCAAGACAAATAAATAGACTCAACTACTCTGTGTTAAATGTTTCATTTCCACAATTAACCACCTGTACCTGCCTGACCTTGGATTCTGGCATCCACAAATAGCTGGAAACAGTTTTCACCTTTGGAAAACAAACACTTTTGTTTTGCTTTGTTTCTAACAGCTGGCTTGCTAGAGTTCAAAACTCTACTTGTTTTTAATCAAACCTTTTGTTATGCCTCCCTTTGCAATTTTATTAGTAAACTGGTAGCAGCACTTCACAAAAAAAAAAAAAAAGTTTTAACAGGAAAGAAGAAACTGCCAGCGTCCAGCTCTCTGACACACCCTCTCTGCTTTGTAAGCCTCTTTCAGCGTGATGGGGGTAGATGGGGGATGGCACAGCACCTGCCCACTTTAGTAACCTGCCAGTGTAAAAAAAGCATCTTAGCAAAATTGTACTCAGTCTAGGCAGACGTAAGGCAGGATATTCAGGCGCCCCTCATCCCCATGTGGATCGAGCGATATGCATTGCGTCCAATCATACCAGTTACCCTGTGTATCATAACATCCATTCACGCCAGGCCAGTGTTGGCTGCATATCCTGTCAAGATCATCCTGCGTCACCTCCCGTGTTACCCCAGGCAAGTCTGCAGGTTTGCTGTGGGGAGCCAGGACATGAGTTTTCCGGGCTTCTCTCCTAGTGCTTTCCTCCTGCTTTAAATATTCAGACATGAAGTAGTGAGCCCCTGGAGTCTGCACCCCTGAAGAGGACAACAAGCTACTCTGCCTGTTTAAATAGGACTGAATTATTTCATTCCGGGACAATTCTTTCCAATTCGTTTGTTCAAAGGGACTCTGCAGAGGTGGCTTCGGCTCCTGCTTATCTGTGCCTGTCCTGTGCTGCTCAGCAAGAGCAGGAAGATCCAACTGCAAACAGTCCCTCTGTGCTAAAGTCTTGATCTCGCCCGTCATGGGGTCAAAAGTCAGTCTCCGCTCTTTTTTTAACCGTACAGGCTTGACCCCGCCTTCCATCACCTGCCCGTCCAAGTTGACCATGTAGTCTTTGGGCCGGTACTTTTTTTTCTTCTTGCTGTCAGACCCTGAGGCAGCACTGTCACTGTCCATCCTTGAAGCATCTGGTGATAAGTCAGCCAAGGGTGCAAAAGACTCTACTGAATGGGAGCCTGCTCCACTGCCGGGAGAGGCTCCTGCACTGAGCTGAAGCTGGCCCTCGGGCACTCTTTGCTGCTCCTGGTCATGAAGGGATGCTTCAGGGTCCACTTGATGAGATGCCTCCAGTCTCTTTGCTAGTGCTGGCTGTGGTGACAGCTGTACTAGAGAGGGGGGAGGTGGCGATAAGGGCACTGGAACATCCAGAAGAGGGGGCTTTGGGCATGGGACAAGCGTCAAATTCTTGGGGGAATACGTGGCATGTTGCCGAGCAAATGTTTCCAGCCTGACATTCCTGGGGCTGAATGAGGAACAACGAGGACTCCTAGGTTGGTTGGCAGCAGCCTCCTCTGCTTTGTCATGCTGCTGCTGCTGCTGCTGCAACACTGCTGTTTTCAGCAGTAAGGATGTCCCAGAAGTTTTGAAGAGTCCTGGAGAGCTCGTATGAGGCCGCACTGCATTGATGGGGATCTTGCTGGGCTTGTCATTTTCACTCACCTCATCCCTGTTGCCTTCTGGCCCTGGGAGAAGACTCACATCTGGAGGGCTAGGAAAACTCTCTGGGCTTCCACCAATCCCATTGGTGGGAGGAGGAGAAGAGTTTTGTAATACTTCATAACTGGCTTTGGAAACTTTTGGCAGCGGCAGAGGAGGACCATCCTTGGGCTCACCTTGCCTCTTCCGGTTCCCTGGCTTTGGAGAGTGCAGCTTTTGGACATCATTTCTATTCTTCACATCTTGAATGGGTTTAGATCCAATCACAGCCCCAGAAGTTTCCACTCGGCAGTTGTGAGCCCCACCATTGGCTGATCCAGGTGGATTTGGCAATCCTCTCAAGGTGGCTTCATTCTGTGAAACAGGCTCAATCAGCTTCTGCCAATTCCGCAACAGTTTTTTGGCCCGTTTAGCAAGCTCCTCATTCTTGGTTTTCTTCCTCACGTCATTGATGAGCTTCCCCAGCCGTGTTTCCTAAAGTTTGTTTTTTTTAAAAAAAGAACACAAAGATTATTTTAAAAGGCACCTCATCAAATATCATTAATGGAGAGACTTCTTTTGTTCTCTCAGTGGTTATGTTCTGACAAGGCCCAGAAGAGGAAAAAGAGTATAGGGCAATTCTATAGCTGACTTAGAGTCTCGTTTCTTAATCACAGTCAGAAAAGGGGGGGAAATTACTATACCACCAGAAGAAGTTACAATTAAGGAGCAAGGAGCTTATAAGGTAGAAAATGCTCTTCAAAACTTTTTGATTGCAAAATTGTTTCTATTTTGAGAAATGGCTCCTTTGCTAAAGTTAATTTGCAATCCGCAAAATGTAAATCAAATAGGGCGGCTATATTTTGATACAGTTCTAATCGACTATAGCATCAAATGGTGTTTTTCACGATAAGAACATTAGAATAATTTTTAATACTTTAACAACTCGTGTCATATAATGATTAAGGTGTTGGGCTAGAGTAGAGACCCAGATTCCAATCTACGCACAACTATAGAAGGTCTCTGGATGACTTTGAACTAGTCACTCATTCTCAGTCCAACCTACTTCAAAAAGCTATCATTATGGGAAAAAACAAAAAGAGCTATTACTAGATACAGCACTATGGCCCTTTAAATCAAATAAATAATCAACTTCCTAAAACTGTAATCAATACAAAGCCACTGTTGTATTTTCAAATATGTACATTAAACCCAAATAAATATTTGGATTTATTTAAATAAATTCTTAACATTTATAATATCAATGCTATAGTAAGTGCATTTTTTCAAGTACTTATTCTAATGTTATCCTGAAAAAATATTTTGTGTAGCATTTGAATTAAACCTATGTTTAAGTAAAAAAATCAAATTGATAGGTAAAGCAGAAGAATGTTCTCTGATTAATATTTACCAAATCTACAATCATATCAAATAAGTATATGTTCACAAATCAAGTGTTGCAGAATATCCTTACTAAGACGAGCCCCATTCAAGTATATCTTGAAATGACAGAATAAATGAAGCTGGTACCATTGTAAGTGAATCAAAATCAACAAAGGAAATTCAAACCTTTGTGCACTTATTAAGGCAGGGCAGCAGAAAATCATCTCAAATTGTAAATGAAATTTGCAGCATCAATCAGTTATAAATTACATTCCCTATTTCTGACTGATTCTAACAGAGAAAGCTGTGGGCAGCTTCCATGGAATTCCACAGGCTATAGCAGGCATGTCAAACTACCGGCCCACGGGCCGGATGCGTCATGCTGAAACCGCGCCCACCCCTTTGCTGGCAATGGGGAAAAAGTTGCGATACGTCGTGTAATGTCATGTGACATCACGAGTTTGACATGCCTGGGCTACAGCAATAGGTGAGCTGTAACCAGTTCAGGCAAGCTGTCAATACCCATTCTTTATATGAGTCAATTTTTTTTTATCAAAAGGAGAGTCTAAAATCCATGAGCTGTCACAGAATATGGACAATCATACGTGATAAATGATTCTTATCAAGTTCCATTTGGTTAAGATAATTACTTTGGCCAAAATATGTCAGGTAAAGAACTTAAGTCTGTCTTCTCAGAGGACCAAATCTTCTTAGCAGGCAAGAAGTGAAAGCAGTGCTTTATTTTTTGTATGGCTGTATGCTTAAATTATGTTTATTATTCTTAGTCTTGTTTATATTATTAATTTTACTTGTTTACATGCATTTACTTATATTTAATCAGGCTGGGGAGTTTCCAAAGCCTTGAATAATTAAAAATATTTATAGCATGTTCCAAACACATCCTGATAAGCTCCCAACACATTTGTCTGGCCTAAAAGGCTCACGTCTTTATCAACCACAATAATTCATTGCTTGGGTGTTCTTCTCTTCTTTAAACAACAGATGAAGGTGAAAAAAAAGCCATGCAATCAAAAAAGTCAGTTCTGCCTTATTCAGTATGGCACATGCACATCCATATTCAATAGACATTGCAAAATTGTGAAACTAAAAATGCAATATTGCAAGAAAGAAGAGGTGAAAGCATCGTAATTCTTGGATGAACAGCTTCCTCTGCCCTACCATGGTGGAGGTGATATTAAGGGTGACTACAGAATGTCAATCAAAGTAGAGACTGGGAATATAAAGTTGTATGACTGCTGGGACACCTGGAGCTTCTTTGGCCTTCAGAGACAGACCAGCAAAATCCTGTTGTTTGCTGCTTTTCTTAACTACAGTGTCAAAACAGTGAGAGCACATTTCTCTCAATCACAAAGTATTATCAAGCCTAACAAGGAGTTGAATGTAAGTATTCAGACTGGAATAAGATAGGTGATGCATATAACTCCTCCTACAACTTTAAATACCATACCTACTTTTGGCATTTTCTAGTATTCTATGAGTTTTTTTTCTTATCAAGAAAAGAATACTTGTGTAGGAACAAACCTCAAGTGCCTCTTTGGTGATGGGGTATTTCTCCAAGCTGGAGATCACTTCCAGTACTGCCACCATGTTATGTATCTGTGGAAAAAAAGGAACAGAAAGTATCCTTTTAGAGAAGGGCAGATGCTTTAAGTATACCGTGTTATATCCCACTGGACAGGAGAGCTGTCGTATGTTAGTGGATTCCCTGGAATATCCTACATGAGAATTGAAATATTTGAAGCAGGTAGTGTCAAAAGATGATACTTTTTCTGCTGAAAATATCTTTGCCTGGAATTCTTTTTTTCTACTTGGAGTTGCCTATTTTTTTTCCATGGTAAGTGAAAACATTTCTAATTCTGTGTGTTTCTTAGGTGTCACCTGTAGACACAAGACTTAAATTGATTGTTTCCAGTGTACTGCATCTCATTTTATTCTTACACTCTAAACCACAGGTCGGCAACCTGCAGCTCCGGAGCCGCATGCGGCTCTTTGAGCCTTCCCCTGTGGCTCCCAGCCTCTCTCTCTCTCAGTGTGTGTGTGTGTGTGTGTGTGTGTGTGTGTGTGTGTGTATGTGTAAAAGAGAGTGCACTCACAGTGTTCTCCGAGGAACTGAAAAGCTTACTGGGCGGAGCTCCTCCCTTTGCTGCGTCTCTGCAGGAAGCAGGAAGCAGGAAGGGCAGGAGAGAGCTAGCTAGCCCAGCTAGGCTGACTCAGGAATTCTGGGAGTTGAAGTCCATGAGTCATAAAAGAGACGAGGTTGCCTACCCGAGCTTGTTGGACACAGCTTGAAGCTTGCCAGGTGAGCAGCAGATAGGAGGGGGGGAGAAAGAGAGGGAGAGAAAGAGAAAGAGGGAGGGAGGGAGGGAGAGAGAGAGGGGGGGGAAGAGGAGTGGCAGACCAAGGGCAGAGAGGGAGGGAGGGAGAGAGAGACAGAGAGAGAGAGAGACCCTTTTGACATCTAAAATGAAGATAACACTGCATATATCCTTTTTTTACCTGTGTGTGTATGTAATTTTATGCTCTTAAAGCATTCTCTTGGTGATCATTGTTTTAATAGTATGGATATTCCCAAGAGTCATATTTTTACTTTTATTTTTAATGCGTGTGTACATATACACACACACACACACACACACACACCTATAATAAAGGTAAAAAAGGATATATGCAATGTTATCTTCATTTTAGATATCAAAAGGGTTTTGTGGCTCCCGGTGTTTTGTTTTTGGTGGGAAACGGGTCCAAGTGGCTCTTTGAGTGTTTTGGGTTGCCTACCCCTGCTCTAAACTTTATTATTGCCAGAGTTGGTTTAAAATTTAAAGAGAAATTATCAGCTGAGAATGAGGCTGAGTAGAAAAAGACAAGGAAATAAATGTGTTTTAACACAATTATTCTGCTTTACTTAGTGGAGGCTGGGGTCATCTCAATCCACTAGAAGAGACCTGTAAGAAATCATTCAAATTGCCTGGAGGCAAAAGTTACCACACAGGGACAAAAGGTGTGTCTAGAAACAGACTTTCCACAATACTAAAATCACATTAATGTATCTGCAAAAAAAGTTTAATGCCTGTAAAAAGACAACAAATGAGAATCAATATAGCATTTAAGATATTCTCAGAAGAGGACTGACTCAGATTTAGTCCTCAACTTACGATCACAATTGAGCTCAAAATATGTTAAGTAAGATATTGGTTGTGAGTTTTGCCCCATTTTATGACCTTTCTTGCCACAATTGTTAAGTGAATCACTACAGTTGTTAAGTTAGTAAAAAGTTGTTAAGTGACTGTGGTTTCCCCATTGACTTCACTTGTCAGAAAGTCACAAAAGGTGATCACATGATCCCAGGACGCTGCAACCATCATAAATATGAGTCAGTTGCCAAGTGTCTAAATTTTGATCATGTGATCATGGGGAATGCTGCAATGGTCGTAAGTGGGAAAAATTGTCATAAGTTACTTTTTCCAGTGCCATTGTAACTTTGAATGGTCACTAAATGATCTATTTTAAGTTGAGGACTACCCATAGTTCCCTTCTACCATGAAAGCTCATTGAGTGACTTTGGCCTATCACTCTCTCTCAATCGAGCCAACTCATAGGAGGTTATAAGGAAAAAACCCTGGAGGGAGCACTATATATGCTATGTCGTGGTCCTGAGGAACAGTGTAGCATAAATTAAAACAAATCAACAAAGTCACAGATTTGAAAGAAAAAATGGCATAGCTTCCTGATGTATCTTAAGAATAGATATTTCTGAAAAAGTGTATACTATCCTGCAAACATTTGAAGGATAAGTCACATACTTAAAATGAGAAATCAAAACATAAACATGAAAATATATTCAGACTTTCTCAAGAGAATGAAAGCTTTAAATGAAGCCTGCAAGAGTCAATTGGCTCTTCTACAACAGGACTGTTTACATGCCATTATCTTTACCCTGATATAAAGTGATTATTTCCATAAATGTAGAATGCAGTAGAGCAGACATGTCAAACACAAGGCCCGGGGGCCGGATGCGGCCTGTAAAGTGGTTTCATGTGGCCCGCGAAGCCATCCTGGAAACATTGAGGGAATGGCCCCCGCTGCCTTGGCCCTGGCCCAGGCCAGCCGGGAGCCAATGTACACAGTTTTGTGGTGGCCCTCTTGGCACTTGCCCTGGTGGACCATGCTTTGGCACTTGCCCCAGTCCCACCCCCTTCTGCCAGAGACCTTCAGATCTGTCCCACTCCTGCCCAGGCCCCCACAGGCACTCTTGATGAGAATGATGTAGAATTGGCCACACCTACCCAGTAGGCCACACCCACTCCATCCACATCCACTAAGTAGGCCGCACCCACCCTGGCCACACCCACCTGGCCCCCCAAGGGCAACTGCAGTGCTGATGTGGCCCTCAGTGAAATTGAGTTTGATACCCCTGCAGTAGAGAAAAGCACATCCAGACCATCTCTTTTTCTTACTCACAGTGATACAAAAGAACTCATAAACACATAGTCTCTCTGCGTATGGTAGCTGAAGGAACAACTGCCCAGGAAGAGTAAGTAGTAATGCAAGGACCTGATTTGAAATATAGCAAATGATAAACATCCAAGAATTCTTAATAAAGGCCTGCACAATGATTTTAGTTCAGCTTAATATAATTGTCAGTATAAATGTTCTAAATCTTATGCCTAACAAATTTTGAGAATTGTTTGTTTCCTCAACTCTCTTATATATATGGGTCTTTTACCTAGGATGTTTCCATGCAGATAAACATAATTTTATGCATTTTCCATTGGTCTCATTTTTTCTCTAATGCAAAATAAGCAAATTATATACATTATATACCAGATGAGTAATTTACAACAGTTATTGTAGTTACTCACTAGAACTACTACACTATCAAACAAAATATTTTTAAGTAAAAGATAATATTTTTTATTTTCCTAGAAGTATAATAAATAAAAATAAACTCATTATAATAAATAAGAAGTCCAAAGATTCAGGTTAATTAGGTTTTTAATAAATAAACTCATCTCACCCCTCAAAAATAGGGTTATATTACTGCGGACAAATTATCTGCCATTATTTTGCTATAATCAAAAAGATAGGTCAAGAGGAAAGAGCAGCATAGAAAGGAATGATTGCAGAAAATATAGGCTGGGTGTGGAGAAATTAGGAGATACAGCAATCTGAAGTAATAAATAATTTTATAAATTTCAAAGGAAAACAGCTCAGGACCCTGCTCTACAAATATATTGGGGCTGGGGGAACTAGAATAAAAATGCAGAAAAAATTCCCTACTCAGACCCATAGAATGTGATTGTGAAAAGTGGATCCACACATACTAACACATAGAGGATTAGGTACAATACACAAAAGCAAAGCAAGGAAAGGAAAAGAAAAGTTGCTCTTATATTAGTACAGAATGCATAGATGCTCTGAGAAAGAGGTAAGATGAAGTATTTCAAGAAGCCCTTAAAACAGAAAATATTAGCCCAAACCATCACAAGTATCCCTCCTCAGCCCCAGCAAATACTAAATTCCTGCTCACTGGTAGACCATCATTGCCATCTCTGAGCCATACTACACAAGTTATGCTATTCTGAAGAAGCAAAAAAGGGGAGGGAAAATGGTGTCAGACAGAAAACACTATTTGTTTGTGTTTGTGTTGGGGGAAGAGAATGAGTAAATGATCAGCAAAGGACTAAAAATAAGTTTTAGGCAACACCAATTGTTGGGCAATATAAAATACAGTTCAGAAGATTATAAAAGATCCAAAGAGACCCTAGAAGGGGACTACAGACAAGAAGCTTGATTAATCCTTTTCTTGCAGTACCTATTTTTTGGCAAAATATGGGAGGGGGGCTGAATTGCTCCAGCAGCCATACAAATGGAGGAACAGAAAGGAAAGCCAAGAAAACAGAGAGTAAAGATTTCAGAATCCAAACCTTCCTGCCACCATCGGTATCAGAAGTATAACTTGTTTATATATAGAAATCTATATAGACTGTCTTTCTCAGACACCCACAGATACATCCACATCTAACTACAGGACTCCTGCCCCTAAGCAGGATAAAGATGGTTCCCATTCTCACTAATCCTTGACCAAGACTTCTTACACAGCCGGATGCCCTACACATGTGGTGGACTACAGTCCACCATACTTAAGTCAGTATGGTTATGTCACCTGGGACTAGCAGGGAGTGTAGATTAATAGAAAAACATGAAATTAGTTTGAGACAAGCTGCCCATTCCCTGTACATATATCCTTCACTCACATTGCTGTTGGGGTCGATGGCCTGCAGCAGCCGGTCCCTGATCTGCTGCGGGGACGGTCCCGGAGCCGCTGTCATTGCCTCCCTGGGGGAGGAAGAGCCCCGGGCCCAGCAGAGTGGGGCGAGAGGAGGCCCCACCGTCCTCCCCTCCTCCCTCCCTCTCTTTCTCACTCGCCGGCCTCGCCGCGGGGCAACTGGAGCCGCATGTTCCGCCGGGCTCAAGCGCCCCACCAGTCGGGGAGGAAGGGTATCACAACTGCTCGAGAAGAACTGAAAGAAAATAGTGCAGCCCGACTCGTCCTAGACCCAACCGGGCCGCCGCTCGGCTCCGCTCGGCTCCACCGAGGAGACGGAGGAGGAGGCCGAGTTCAACTGTGGGCAGGAGCCAGCCCCGCGCAGTGCATCCTGGGACACGCCCGACGCTGACGGCGGCCGACGCACAGACGCCGAACGTCGCGTCTGTGACGTCACGACGCAGGGCGTTGGGTGCTCCCGCCAAGAGGATTGGGGTGGGGGAGGAAGGGTGAGAACTCGGCATTCTGTTTGTTCAGTGCGTGTCCGCGACAGGGTACTCGCGGGCGGGAAAAATCTGAGCCATTCGCGCCTGCGCAGAAGATCCCGCGGAGGTGGCTGGTGAGGGCGAGAGCTGGAGGTAGCGGAGGGCCTTGGAAACGGCAAAAAGGCGGGAAAAGTGGGGCTTCGACTGCTGTTCCGCTTCTGTCACTCGCGTTTGTTGAGCAGATAGTTTTGATTATTTTAACTATATCCCATTTGCAAAGTACAAACATATTTTTCTGTGTTCGGGCTTCATACTCGTTACGTCATTATCTATTTGCTCTCGCTAGTAATCAAACCGATCCTCGCTTTATTTACAAACTGGTAACAAATGGTACTTCTGGAGGGATAAAACAATCGTCTTTTCATTCATCTTGTGTTGGATTATCTAAAAACTATCTGGAAAACAGTTTGGGGGAAGAATCTGGTATGGCAGTTCTTGATCATTGCAATTCATGCCCTGACTCTTGGCATGTTTATTACTTTGATCTTCTGGATTTGGGCACCACGTTGTTTCAGCCCACTCTCACTTGCCATTGGACATTTATGTACCTCTGCATTTAAAAGGACTGTATGTCTGCATCATACAGTTCATTAAGCCTAGTACACATAATCACCAGAAAAGGTCATTTGCTAGGCAAGTCTATAAACAGTTTACATTCTGCTCTAAAACTGATTATCTCTGCTTCAATATATTTGGAATACCCTTTCAATAGAGCACGTTTACCCTCGTCATTCAGATAATTAATGGCAGAATTCCCAAGGTATATAGACATGTGCTATAACAATTGGTAATTGAACATTAGAATGTTTTGTTCTCTATTAGTGAAATCTCCAATATGACAATTAAGTAAAATATGGACTTATTTGGAGTACATTGTACAACTTACAACCACAACTGAGCCTAAAATTTATGTTGCTAAGTGAAACATTTGTCAAGTGAATTTCATCCCATTTTACAGTCTTTCTTGCCATAATTGTTAAGTGAATCATTGCAGAGGTTCAGTTAATAACACAATTGTTAAATGAATTTGGCTTCCCCACTGATTTTAATAAATAATAGTAGTAAAGTTGGAAGGGACCTTGGAGGTCATCTAGTCCAACCCCCTGCTCAGGCAGGAAACCCTACACCATTTCGGACAAATGGCTGTCCAATCTCTTCTTAAAAACTTCCAGTGTTGGAGCATTTACTGCTTCTGGAGGCAGGCTGTTCCACTGATTAATTGTTCTCACTGTCAGGAAGTTTCTCCTTAGTTCTAGGTTGCTTCTCTCCTTGATTAGTTTCCACCCATTGCTTCTTGTCCTGCCTTCAGGTGCTTTGGAAATAGCTTGATTCCCTCTTCTTTATGGCAGCCCCTGAGATATTGGAATACTGCTATCATGTCCCCCTTGTCCTTCTCTTCGTTAAACTAGACATACCCAATTCTAGCAACCGTTCCTTATATGTTTTAGCCTCCAGTCCCCTAATCATCTTTGTTGCTCTTCTCTGTACTCTTTCTAGAGTCTCAACATCTTTTTTACATCGTGGTGACCAAAACTGGATGCAGTATTCCAAGTGTGGCCTTACCAAGGCATTGAAGAGTGGTATTAATACTTCACGTGATCTTGATTCTATCCCTCTGTTAATGCAGCCTAGCACTGTGTTGGCCTTTTTGGCAGCTGCAGCACACTGCTGGCTCATATTTAAGTGATTGTCTACTATGACTCCGAGGTCCCTCTCACAGTTACTACTATTGAGCATGGTGCCACCTATGCTGTACTTGTGCATTTGGTTTTTCTTGCCTAAATGTAGAACCTTGCTTTTTTCACCATTGAATTTCATTTTGTTAGTTAGTGCCCAGTGTTCAAGTCTGTCCAGATCCTTCTGTATCTTAAGCCTGTCTTCTGGAGTGTTGGCTATTCCTGCCAGCTTGGTGTCGTCTGCAAATTTGATGAGTTCCCCATCTATCCCTTCGTCCAAATTGTTGATGAAGATGATTTTGCTTCTCAGAAGGTTGCAAAAGGTGATTACATGACCCTGGGACACTGCAGTTGTCATAAATATGAGTCAGTTGCCAAGCATCTGGATTTTGGTCAAGTGACCATGGAGATACTGCAATGGTCATGTTAAAAATGGGCAAAAGTCACTTTTTTCAGTGCGGTAACTTTGAACGATCACTAAATGCAGAATCCAATCTTGGTCGGTCACCAAGATCAGACCCAGGATTGGGAATGTCCCAGATTTTATCCTGCAACATCTTGGGACACATATATTCATCTTCATTCAGCCACTAAATGAACTGCTGTAAGTCAAGGACTTCTTGTATTGACTTATTGTTGAAGTAGTAACCCCTATAAAATGCAATCAGTCGTGAATTTTGCCCCAAATCCCGGTCTCAAAGTATGTTAAAAAATCTAGTGGAATATCAAGAGTTCTAATACAAGTCACCATACCTTGCTTTTCTTTCTCTGTCTTTATTTGTTGTTGTTAGTTGCGAAGTTGTGTCCAACCAATTGTGTCCGACCCATGGACAACGTTCCTCCAGGCCTTCCTGTCCTCTACCATCTTCTGGAGTCCATTTAAGCTCATGCCTACTGCTTCAGTGACCCCATCCAGCCACCTCATTCTCTGTCGTCCCCTTCTTCTATTGCCCTCAATCTTTCCTGTCTTTATTAAGAAGGTGCTAATCAAGCATATATATGCTTATGTGGATCTATTTATAAATTTAATTTAGGAAAGTATTATTTTCTAATGCTGCTTACTCCTAAGAAAATGTGGCAAAAAAGCATCTTAAAATGCAAATAAAAGTAAACTTCATTTTATTTCTCTTCCCATGAAATGTTTTGTGAACCTAAAATGTGGAACATATTCAGATGTTGATACTCTGTCTAGAAAGAGTACAGAGAAGAGCAACAAAGATGATTAGGGGACTGGAGGCTAAAACATATAAGGAAGGGTTGCTGGAATTGGGTGTGTCTAGTTTAATGAAGAGAAGGATGAGTGGTGACATGATAGTGTTCCAATATTTCAGGGGTTACCACAAAGAAGAGGAAGTCAAGCTATTCTCCAAAGTACCTGAAGGCAGAACAAGAAGCAATGGATGGAAACTAATTAAGGAGAGAAGCAACCTAGAACTAAGGAGAAATTTCCTGACAGAACAATTAATCAGTGGAATAACCTGCCTCCTGAAGTTGTCAGTGTTCCAACACTGTGGGTTTTTAAGAGACTGTCTGAAATGGTATAGGGTTTCCTGCCTGAGCAAGGGGTTGGACTAGTGATATCTAAGATCCCTTCCAAAATATTATTATTATTATTAAGATTATTAGAAACAAAGGAATAGACCTCTTAAGAGAACAATAGAGAATGCAAACAGATTTATATTAGTTACTGAGAATATAAACTTGTTGAAATCATGCAGAATAGAAAGTCTGAAATTGGTGAGACGGTATACTGCAGATTGACCACGAAAATGGCAAATGTGGATAGCACTTTCACAATGCAAATTACAATGCTTTCACAGACAACTCAGCATTAATGGGGAATTACAATCTGTTAAAACATCTGACTGATGAAGAACTTGATGAAGTCCAAAAGGCAGAAATGCTACAAATAAATTGAGGTGTTGTCTTAAAATTAGTAATAGTGGGGTTATAAAACCATGCTAGATGCCAAGTGCTCAAATTGTGGCCACTTGACTGAGGATGCTGCAACGGTTGTAAGTGCAAGGATCCATTATAAGTCACTTTTTTTCAGTGCAATTGTAACTTTGAACTTGTAAATGAATGGTTGTAAGATGAGGATTACCTGTATGAGAATGAAAAACAGGAGATGTCTAGAGAAGTCAGGGTGGCTGCATAGGAAAATTTCATGATAAACATTTACAAGAGGGTAACAGTAAGAAAGAATACAAAAGAGGAATTGAAACATTAAACAAAAAGAATTATTTGGGTATATCAGGTAACACATTAAAAAAGGTCTTTGAAAGAAAGGGAGTTTCCTGGATGCATCTATCCAGTGTTTTTAATGTGCAGAAATGATTTACTTACTTTCTTCCAGGATTTTCCCCTAATTTCCCACTTTATTTCAGAGCTGCAGACCAAAATTACTGTATTCATTTAGGACCAAAAAACACCTCTTACGCTACTTTTTTTTAAAGAAGATTCAGATGTGTTTACTTCTATTGTTCACTTTCCTGCTTTGATTATTCTGGAGCTCAATCCTAGTTTATCAGCTAGGCTTTGAGCAATGGGGATATATATATGGGTTATATAGGTGAATCAGTGGAGCTCATGATTCCCCCAAACTACTGATTTCATATACTGTACCTACTAAGAAGGCTTGACCAGTTCAGCAAAGTTTGACTAGTACTACTGCAATGTACCCACACTTATCCAGTGCCCAAGGTTATAATAAAATTGATGGAAAAGACAGACTAGAGTTTAATCCCAGCAAGACTGTTACTCCTCCATATAAGATACACGAGAGCATGACAAAGGGAAAGGGACAAACAAAAACGTTCCCCTCTCCAATAAATGGATGTTTATTTTAGTGTTTTAAGTAAATTGTTATTATTATTATTAATAATAATAATAAATAATATTGGAAGGGACCTTGGGGGTCATCTAGTCCAACCCCCTGCTCAGGCTGGAGACCCTATACCATTTCAGACAAATGGCTATCCAGTCTCTTCTTAAAAACTTCCAGTGTTGGAGCATTCACAGCTTCTGGAGGCAGGTTGTTCCACTGATTAAAAGTTCTAGGTTGCTTCTCTCTTTGGTTAGTTTCCACCCATTGCTTCTTTTCCTGCCTTCAGGCACTTTGGAGAATAGCTTGGCTCCCTCTTCTTTGTGGCAGCCCCTGAGACATTGGAAGACTGCTATCATGTCACCCCTCGTCCTTCTCTTCATTAAAGTAGACATACCCAATTGTAAGTGGAAGACTACCTGTACACAAAATGCAGACTTGCTCACAGACATCTTAACCAGGCATGAAGTTTCTAAGTATTTACATAATACTTTCTACAGAGTATGAAATAAAACTCTTAATCTTTAGATCAAGTTGCAACCAGCATCTCAATTAGGGTGGGAACTTATTTGGATAAGAAATGTTAAATTCACACAAGCGCAAAATTTAAGAGAGAATTTTTATAAGATGTTTTATAGATGGCACCTTGACCCAAAGAAAATGTCCATTATGTACCCTAATCTACAGCCGAAATGCTGGAGATGTGGATATTTGGATGCTACCTATTACCATATTTGGTGGACGTGTAAGCATATAAAAGCTTTTTGGATTAAGATATGGTGGAATATTCAAAGAATTTTTAAAAGAAGGGTAAAATTTACTCCGCAATTATTTTTACTAGGTATTGTTATTGACTGTGATGCTAAGGAGGTTATATTGATGTTAAATTTGATTACAGCCGCTAGGTTGTTAATAGGACAATATTGGAAGAAGGAATCTTTGCCTATTTTACAAGAATGGTTTCATAAAGTTTCGTATTTGGCAGAAATGGCAAAGATTTCGGCTTTCTTAAAGGAGCAATCTCAAGAAAAATTTTTTGCGGTATGGGAAAAATGGATAAATTTTATACAACATAATTTGGATATGGAAAAATATTATTTAGCCTTTTTATAATTTGTAATGATTGTTTTTTCTTTCTTTCTTTCTTCTTTTTCTTTTTTATATATATACATTTTTTATGTATTATTATTCATATATTTTTTTTTTATATATATATGCTTTATTCTTCGTCTACTTTCTTCTTCTTTCTCTCTCTCTTCTCTTTTTATTTATTTTTTTTTCTTTTTTAGTATATATTATTCATTTTAAAGTTTATGTTATGTATATTATTATTATATATATTATTACTGTGATTTTTATTATTATTATTAATTATTTTATAAATTGCAAATGTTATTTTTAAAATATTTGTTAAATAATCCTATATTCAGTTCTGGGAAGTCGGGGGGGGGGTGGGGTGGTTGGGGAGGGGGGGGTGGATTTTTATTTGTAAAACTTTTGAAAAATTTCAATAAAAAAAAAAAAAAAAAATTAGGGTAACACACTCTGTTCCAGAGAGCAAGGACGTCTTGTTTCTCAACTAGAGCACCCATCCGTGAAAAATCCTCCCACCAGAAATCTAGTGGGCTCACCTTTAGGAAACTGTTATGCAGAAGCACCTTTATGATGTCATAATTAGATTCTTTACCATTATTATTTCCCTGGTTATAATTATTTATTAAAAGTGTGGGGATTATTAAAGTTGTTATGTAGAAGGCAGAGCAGAATTTTTGTACTTCAAATTGACTTTTTTTGAAAAGAAGTTGGCAGCCTATCTCAGAATTCAGCTAATCAGTTATCACTTAAGGGCAGTACTCAGTTATAGAAGACAGATGGAGGTTATGAGAGCTCTCTCCCAGAAATAAACCTGCCGTTCTTATTTACCTTAGGACAAGTTTGGAGACCTTCCTTTCGGATTTTTCCTGATAAAGTATGTCAAAATAGAATTTAGAAGACTGGTTGAGGAATTCTGGGAGTTGAAGTCCACAAGTCATAAAGGGCCAAGTTTGAAGACCCCTGATCTAGACCAAACATATTTAAGTACTTCCATAGAATTCTAAAGATAATCCATTAGCAAAGTGTATTGCTTAAATTCATATTTGGATAGCAACATGTCATCTCACCTACATCAGCTTTCTGAGTTTATTTGAATTCATGCTGCCAATAATGACTGTTCTTGAAAGGAACATAAACATCTTGAAAGGAATACAAATAGTTAGCCACAGCACTTTTTTTTAAGAGCAGCTTTCCAACTTTTCTGAATCCTGCATATTACAATTACTAAAGGATAATGTGAATTCTGCCCTCACCTTTCCCACGAGGCTGATAGGGCAGGAACAAGAATCAGCCCCCAGTCAGATGAAATAATTTACTTAGTATGTAAAAATGCCTTATTCATCCCACCATTTAACATTCAGGAGGGAAGCGAAAACAATCTTCATTTGCTGAGCTGGCTGATACTGTGTTATCATTTGTAAAATGCAATATTTTGATTATTAGTTCTATTATTTGTAAACCAGCCAATGTAGCATTGTCTCTACATTTTCTTTTTTTCACTCAATTTTTCAGATAGTTCCGTGAGATTATTTTCTTTATGCCTGCCCTAACCCCTTCCGCTCAAAGAAAAAAAAAAAGACTCAGTATAGAAAGTATACAATTGTGTTTATTTTGCTAGATCTTGGAGCCCAGATGTTCAAACAGTCTCTTCATACACACAGTAAGATCTCCAGACATTCAGCATTCAACAGAAAGATGATTTTACAGATTCACCTCCCAGGGATATCCTCCCATTTTAACCATCATTATAGACCAAACTGCTTTAGATGTCAACATCACCTCAGATATATGTGCTGGATAACTACTTGGGTCTACTCCAATCAACTATTACAAGAATAAGGTATATAATCAGCTATTCTCCTTTGGCAGAGAGTCATACAACAGGTCTTGCACAATTCACACTTAAACTGCTTTTGGGCATCAACTTATTTTTTGCATCACTCTTTCCTGATCAGGAATATTTAGTGTACTTTGTTTTCTGGTAAGTAAAGAGTGGTAGTCCTTGACTTACAACCATTCATTTAGCGACCATTTAAAATTACAATGGCCCTGAGAAAAGTGGCTTACGATGGTTTTTCACACTTATGACCATTGCAGCATCCCTGTGGTCACATATCCAAAATTCAGACACCTGGCAACTGGCATGCATTTATGAGGGTTGAAGTGTCCCGGGGTCATGTGATTACCTTTTGCGACCTTCTGACAAGCACAGTCAATGGGGAACCAGATTCACTTAACCATGTTACTAACAACTGCAGCAATTCATCTAACAACTGTGGCAAGAAAGGTCGTCAAATGGGGCAAAACTCACTTAACAACGGTCTTGCTTAGCAATGGAAATTTGGGGCCCAGTTGTGGTCATAGTAAAGGACTACCTGCACGGTAGTTACTTAAAATGTTACTTTAAAGCAGTGGTTCTCAACGTTTGTGTGACGGCGACCCCGTCACACAAACGTTCTGCGCATGCGCGGTGCTGCGCGCATGGGGGCGGGGGCCACACATGTGCGGTGCGCGGCGGTGCCCCATGCGCGGTGTGCATGCGCGGCGCCGCCCCGAGGGGAGAAAATGGCGGATCGCCTTCTTTGGCAACCCCCGAAAAATGGTCGATCGACCCCAAATGGGGTCGCGACCCATAGGTTGAGAACCGCTGCTTTAAAGCAATGTTTCTCAAACTTGACAAAATTCCCCAGTAATCCCTTGCTGAGAATTGAACTTATTGGGATTTGAATTCCCAGAATTCCTCAGCTAGTCTTCCTGGAAGATGAAATCCATCCACTTTAAATTTGCTAAGGTTGAGAAACACTGTTTTAAGGCAAGGAGAAATATAGCTTTTTTTTTCTTAAAAAACAAAATAAAATTGTTTTATCATTTTATCCTATCTAAAACCTATTTTTTTTCCTTAGTGGAGCTAAAGGCTAAATTTAAATCCAATGACTGATAAAGTGTGCACTACAAGGCCATTTTTGTACTCGTGTCAAAAGTTTCAACATAATTTCTTCTTACATTTCTTCATATCTTCACATAAAAGCTCTGTTCTCCATGGTTGTCATGCCTGCAAGCGTAACCCAAGTATCCCTTCACAGGGCTGAAAGTTCATTCTTATACATTCATTAACCAAATAACCAAAGAAACAAAAACTAGGGAAAAAAACAAGAACAGGGGAAAAGAGGGAATGGTGAAATTTCCTTTGATATTTGTAGTAAAAATAAGCCAGAGCTCAATACTAAAATGATGTCATATCTTTTACTTAGTATTTTATATTTCCAGTTGGAAGCCATCTGCAAATTGCCAAAGATTTACGTGTATTTTTTGTCAGTTCAGTCAAAGTTGTTTAAGATCCAAACAGCCTGGTGAAAAACAAATGGAAAGTTAATGACTAATTTTTATCAGTTATTCTTACAATAAACCTGTAAGATAAACCAAAATTGTTTATTGTCCTTTTATACTGTCCAGTAAGTTAATTGAAACATAGCATATTAGAAAATATATAATATCCTCATTATATAAGGAACAGTGAAAACAATTAGTGAATAGTGTGAATTTAGAATATGTGGGATTGAAGCTCATATTTTATAATAATTTTATTACTACAGCAGTACCAGTTCAGTATTGGTATCGTTCCTATGTTTAAGTGCCAATACTATATTAAAAGAATACCATGCATTATGTAACTATACAAACCAAGCATTAAAAAGACAAGGTAAGGAAGACATAAACATGACATCTTTGTTGGGATTACTTACACAATCATGCAAAACATCATGAAAATATTCCACAGTGCGATGAAGATCCGAAAGTATCTTAAACTCAACAGAAACTCCCTGATATTATCACCTAGAAGTCGGGAAGTAAATGAAATTGCATTTACAGCAAAAAGTACCTTTGTTTCATCCACGCTCCTTTCAGTATACTCTTAGCAATAATTTATTCAGTCATTAATTTAGGTACCATCCGATTCCAGACTGACTTAAATAATTGGAGTTATTTCTTAGATTCCCAACAATTAATAAGGTACTTTTTATATTTAAGATAAGACAAGAAAACAAGTTATAAAGCAGTGGTTCTCAGCCTGTGGGTCGGGACCCCATTTGGGGTCGAACGACCATTTCACGGGGGTCGCCAAACAACGCAGTCTGCCATTTTCTTTTCTCTTTTTCCTTAGCTGTGCTACTCCCTTTTATTCTATTGGCTTTTGAAATCCAATAGAATAGACTCTCTTGAATAGAATCTAATTCTATTGGCTTTCAAAAGCCAATAGAAATTGTCCAGGCTGTCTCTGCCCTGCTGAGCCCGCCAAAAGTCCCATTCTGCAAACGGTGCTGCACCAGTTGAGTAGTCCTCGACTTACGACCGGTTGGGGGTCGCGGCATTAAAAAGGTTGAGAACCACTGTTATAAAGGAATCTTTATAATTCAAGCAACTTATAATAGAGCCTATGAGCCAGCAGGGATAGAAGAAGCATGAAAATAACTGTGCAGAGCCATACAATGTCCTCCTATGCAGTATAATCACTAAGAATATTATTTTTTCTAATATTTGCAATTGGGTGGCATGTTGTCATTCTTCCAGCAGACATTCAATATCTGCCCCTTCCTTTATATGCCTATGATTTGTCTGGATAGCTAAGAAATCGCCATAGCATATTTACAGAATATATAGGGAGGGGGGGAGGAAAGTTGCTGTAAGGACAAAGGTTAGTCACTTAATGATGTATACTCTTTTGTTTCAGTTCAGGGTGGGCAATTTTCTAGAAATTGTTGAATAGCAACTCCCATGACTGCTTATCCTGGCTAGAATTGAGGAAGTTCAGTATCTGAGTGACTATATATTGCCTGCTGTCAAACTCATAGAACCTCAACAGAATATCCCAGGCATTCAATAGCTTGAATAATTCTAAGTTCATATCTGATGAAAATTTATCTGACACGTTACTATATACGTAAGTATCTTTATTATACACTAGGAAGAAATCATTAGAACACTTGATTGTTCTCTATCAATCTGAAGTTTTTTCAGTTCATTTTTTATATTCAAAGTAGTTTAATTTCCCATGGCTTAACTCATGTTTTGCCCTATGTTTCTCAGCCTTCACAATGAATGTTGTTAATTGTTGACAAATCAACCTCTCTGCATTGAGAAACTCTGGGACTCACTTAATTCTGTTCTAAATGCTTTAAAATAAACAATCTATTAATTATTAGGCTAAAACAAAACTACAGCGTGAAAAACACGGTATCTAAAGCATTACCCACAGCAAATTTGATACTATTCTCAAGAAGGGGCAACAATAATTTACACAAAAACTAATTGACTTCACAGTCCAAATGTAGAGAAATGAGGCCCAGTAAAACCAAATATCTATAAAATCTGAAAATATACCATATTACATGTGTTACTTTTTCATAATTTTGCAATTCTGTGTAAAAATTTAATTCTTAATTTATGTTAAACAATGTTACCAGTTTAGTAGACTGAGCTGTCTTTTACAATGAAGCAGTTACAATATGCATATGGTACCAAATAGTCTAGATCAGGGGTAGGCAACCCAAAACACTCAAAGAGCCACTTGGACCCGTTTCCCACCAAAAACAAAACACCGGGAGCCGCAAAACCCTTTTGATATCTAAAATGAAGATAACACTGCATATATCCTTTTTTACCTTTATTATAGGTGTGTGTGTGTTTGTGTGTGTGTGTATGTATGTATATGTATGTGTGTATATTAAAAATAAAAGTAAAAATATGACATTAAAACTAAAAGTAAAAATATGACTCTTGGGAATATCCATACTATTAAAACAATGATCACCAGGAGAATGCTTTAAGAGAATAAAATTACATACACACAGAGGTAAAAAAAGGATATATGCAGTGTTATCTTCATTTTAGATGTCAAAAGGGTCTCTCTCTCTCTGTCTCTCTCCCTCCCTCCCTCCCTCCCTATCTGCCCTTGGTCTGCCACTCCTCTTCCCCTACTCTCTTTCTTTCTCTCTCTCTTTCCTCTCTCTCTCCCTCTCTCTCTCTCTCTCTCTTTCTCTCCCTCTCTTTCTCCCCCCCTCCTATCTGCTGCTCACCTGGCAAGCTTCAAGCTGTTGTCCAAAAAGCTCAGAGGTAAGCAACCTCGTCTCTTTTATGACTCATGGACTTCAACTCCCAGAATTCCTGAGTCAGCCTTGCTGGGCTAGCTAGCTCTCTCCTGCCCTTCCTGCTTCCTGCTTCCTGCAGAGACGCAGCAAAGGGAGGAGCTCCGCCCAGTAAACTTTTCAGCTCCTCGGAGAATACTGTGAATGCACGCTCTTTTACACATAAACACACACACACAAAAACACAAACACACACACACAGAGAGAGAGAGAGAGAGAGAGAGAGAGAGAGAGAGAGAGAGAGAGAGAGAAGCAGGGAAGCGCAATTGCCTCTCTCTGTCTCTGTCTCTCTCTGCAAAGGCAGAGGAGGCTGGGAGCCACAGGGGAAGGCTCAAAGAGCCGCATGCGGTTCTGGAGCTGCAGGTTGCCGACCTGTGGTCTAGATAGAACAAGGGTGTCAAACTGCCGGTCTATTGGCCGGATGCGTCACACGGAAGCCATATCCACCCCAGCTCCGCAAGGGGAAAAAAGTCACAATACGTTGCAACACGTCACATGATGCGGCGAGTTTGATACCTCTGGTCTAGAATGTTAATCAGGAACAACAAGCCATATTTTTCTATACAATACCCCAAATTTGCAATCCTAACACAAAACTAAAAAAATAACTGCAACTATTTTGGAAACACACAGTAAGTTAAAAAAAAAAAAAACCTTCAGTACAAAGGCCTCAGTTAGAATGTTTACCTGTTGTTGGTTCTCTTCCTTCTTCACCAAAGCCCTGACTCTCTTTCTTCTTCCTGGAAGACAAAGATTTATTGTAAACATCCCAGAACATAATAGTATCTCATAATTTAAGGCAAACAGGAATATATTAAAATGGACAATGACAGAAGAAAATCTACTGACAGCTATTAACCAAAGTAGCGATGGAATACTATAGCAATTTGCTGAATCCTGAAAACAAAAGAAGTTTCAAGGCCCACTTGAAGAATTTTCAGAAATGATTAGCCATGCAGAAAAAATGGTGCTGGACCAGATGAATACAATTTAGGCAGGATACAACAAGAATCTTCTGGCAACAATTAAGGGGAACTTCCATGATCAAAAGCAGCATGCCTTTAAAAGTGCTTGCAGCTGGTTCACCCACTGCTATAATATTCAGCTTATGATATTCCTGTAGAGCCACTAATTTGGCCACTGTAGTAAACAGAATATCTGGGTGGGATATGCATTTCCTATACTCCTAAACAATATAGGAAATGTATTACATACAGCTTTCAGGTCTTTTGTAAAATTGCTAAGTGCTCCGATTGGAAGTAGTGATAACTGAACCTTCTGATTGAAAGTCCCTCACTTTACATTTAAATCTAGGCAGTCATGGCTGATCCTGAAAAGCGAAGCAGAGTTAATAATATAATATAATAAAGTTGGTAGGGTCCTTGGAGGTCATCTAATCCCACCCCCTGCTCAGGCGGGAAACCTATAAATTTCAGACAAATGGCTGTCCAGTCTCTTCTTAAAAACTTTCAGTGTTGGAGCATTCATCGCTTCTGGAGGCAGGTTGTTCCACTGATTAATAGTTCTAACTGTTCTATCTACATTGAGTTAATTTTAATACTTAATAAGAAATCTCAGGGTTTCATGCTATCCCACCAGTTTAGTTGCCCAGGCTATCATTTAAAATGAGAGAAATACAACTTGTATTTCTCTATGATTGGAAAATCAAGGCAACGGACAACCACATTTCTTCTTCTTCTTGTGCCATATCCATTATCGGACGCTGGCGATCATGTTGGCGATCCTGTTTTTATCAGCAGCCACACAAAAAAGTGCTGCTGAGTTTTGTCCAAACCAATCCCTTAGATTTTGAAGCCACAATGTTCTTCTTCTGCCTGGACCTCGTTTGCCTTCAATCTTTCCCTGGAAGATTAAATGGAGTATGCCGTATTTTTCTGGATGTCGCATCACATGTCTGAAATATTCTAATTTTTGTTTTTTAATTGTTCCGATGATTTCCCTTGGCTTTCCCAGGCGGCTTATCACCTCCTCCTTTCTGATCTTGTCAACCCAGCTTATATGTAACAGCCCCCTGTAAATCCACATTTCAAATGCTTCTAGTCTCTTCAGGTGGCCTTCTGTCAGAGACCAACTCTCTACTCCATAGAGCAGGATAGAAAAAATATAGCATCTGACAAGCCTGATTTTCAGTCTTAGGCTTATGTCGTGACTGCAGAAGACCTTTTTCATTTCACAACCACATTTATATTTTGCTAAAAGAAAACATGGCTATGTGATGTGTTTAGTCAGCAGACATAAAGTTACGCTCAAGAAAAGCTATTTATTTATCTTTGGCCACTTCCAAGATTGGGGAGCAGCCATAGGAGCATCATTGGCATTTTAAAAAGAGCTTTCTAGTTTGGAGAAAGTTGTGTCCTGCACAATCCGTCCAATAAACTACTCTCTAAGGAACAGCAACTCTCTAGAAAGAAGTTTTTGCCAATTTTCCTAAAACTCATTTAACAACCTTGAACCAGGTGTTTTCTGTTACCAGAATTACATATTGCAATCTTTGAATCAAAAGCTTTCCCAGAAACCTCTCTGAGAAGGAACTCATGCTGGAAGCACAAAACCTCAATTCCTACAGTTATAAGATTTCCTCCATTTCCCCAACAAAGTAAATCCTGTTGTTTTTTTTCAGTACTTACAGCCTGAAATTTAACACTGCTCCGGCATTGACCAACAGAGTCCTATGTGGCAGAAGAAGAAGAAAGAGTAAGAATATACAAAAGCCTGGCCTTTTCCACTTTAATTCTTAATATTTCTGAGCTGTGGGGGCAAGAAACGGCCTACAAGTTAGGGATAATTGCTTCCTCCATGCCTTTCCTGATGTCCCATCCTAAATTACTTCTCTTTTTTTGCACTTTTAAGAGTTGCAGGGCAGAAACAAGAAATTTAACCAGTTTCCCTCGGAGAATGCAGGTTGGAGTATTCTGCTGTCCCTGTCCCATATTTACACAACCTTTACACTCAGTTCCGTAGAGTCGAATTTATCAAACAGGAAAACAGCTATGCCTCCCCCCGCCAGCTTAATAAAACTGGTTGCTTGGCAACAAGTTATCTCCCCTTACCCGAACAACAGCAAATCCCCCAACATCCTGCTACTTCCGCTCTGCTGCTATCGAAACGGAAATACACCCGGCTGACACGCAGCGGCTCAACATCCAATAAACATCAACTTCATCTTGCCATTCCAACCGCTGGCCGCCAGGTGGCACTACTGCAAGGAGAAAGTCTGTGGTAGGTTACAAGCGGGTGGTGACGTTCCTCCATAAACCCCGCCCACCAATTTAAAGCGCTGGGATGAGTTCTTTACCCTGGGAGCGGAGGCTTTCGCTCTTCAGTGGTTTTAAAAGATGCTGCCTTCTTTTCTTCGTTATTTTTTTTGGGGGAGGGGGTCTGGTCCTTGTTGTATCTGGTTCCCCCTCCCCCACACACAAACACTAAGAACTGTAGGAGGATGTTTATGTTAGCCAAAAAGTCGGAGGGAGGAACAGAAATTGTGAAGCTATAGAAAAATAGGTAGATCAAACTGAAGGTTCTTCAGAAACATCCCTTGTGTTATCTAGTAATCTCAAGCTTGTGAAGAAGTGGGCTCTTGGTGGTGAGGTGCCGACGGAACCTGCATGATCAAAGGCAGTCTACCTTTAAGTACCAAGTGCACGATGGGGGTGTGTCCTTCTTGCCTTCTGAAGCGTTATAGGCAAACGCACTCACAAAGCCAAAAAAGAAACAAAAAGACCAAAGCACCTCCTCACCAGCTGTCCCAAAGGTGTTTTTCAAAAGGTAACTGGACTGTCTTGGATTTTCCCTTGGAAACGTTTCACTTGTCATCCAAGAAGCTTCTTCAGTTCAGGTGTAGAACTGAAGAAGCTTCATGGATGAGAAGTGAAACGTCTTCAAGGAAAAACAAAGGAAGTCCCGTTGCCTTTTGAAAAGCACTTTTGGGACAACCATGACTTGGATGATTGAGAATCTCCATAGACAGTCCTCACCAACTCAACACCCAGATGAACAGAGATTAACACCAAGATCAACATTAGACTAATAATGTAGAAGCAAATAATACGCCAATCAAGGTACTACCAACTCAGACTAACAGTAAACAATAGCCCAATCAAAAAATCAAGACCACGCCCACCAATACTGACAGGGTAGGCCACTAGAATATAAAATGAAAGCAAACCCAGCTCCTTACTACCGCAGCACTGATAATGTTATCTAGTTTGGTAATGAAAGGTCTGCAAGAAAACAACCAAGCTCAGAAAGCACCAAGGACCTCGTAGTTCAAACCTGAGCTACAAATATTCTCTTCTACCGGCAGTTACCGCATTATGTGTAATACGGAGTAAGTGGACATTCCTCATGGATAGAAGATCTGCGCCATCAACTCGGTTCTGAAGACCCTTCAGTTTGATTTACCATTAAGCATCTCAGATGGGGGTCACAGAAGAGATCCTGGGTGGCAATTTGAGCAAAGAGGCGAGAAAGCGCAGAGTTTGGGGTCTGGATTCACAGTGTAGTTTGTCTGACAGTGTTGAAATCGAGGGCTTGGGAAGGGAAGTAGTATTCATTCAATCCTGATTTAACTAAAGAGAATCCGAATCTCCGCAGAAGAACCTCGCCTGAGTGGGCAAGCGTTGCCTTCTGCCCTTTCATGAAATGATTTTTATTGTTATTATTTTAAAAAAGCCGCGACATGTACCATCACCCTGGCAACCGGTTGCATTTGCTTCTGCTGCCCCACTCTCGCTCGTTTCGGGGAACGGAGCGGAGACTGAGTTGCGGAGTCCCGGATTTCGTTTTTGAGGTCCGGCCCTAACTGGACGATCATTGCCCTCCTTTCCAGTAAATCGTTCAGCATCCACTGTCGTTGATGTATTTGCGTGGGCCTGTGAAGTAGAAAGGAGAGTCGCCTCGTTTAGCAACCGCGCAAGGTGCCGGGGAAGGCGGGGACGCGAAGTGCCTGGGTTTGGGAAGTAGCGGCGGTGAAGGCAAGGCCGGAGAGAGATGGGGTCGTCTTCCGGGCGGGAGGAAAAAGAATTGCACTCTGCACATGCTCAGCTGCCCGAGGCGGCCCCCGGAGGCGCTTGCAAGCGGCAGGCCAAGTAGGGAAGGCGGCGGGGCGTCTCCATCCCTCTCTCCCTCCCTCGGCGGGGCGGCCGCTGCGTCCCTGCTCTGCCAAGCAGCGGTAGCACCAGCTACAGCCGCTGGGCGCTCGTGAGGGGCTCCCTTTTCGCCGTTCGCCTGCTCGGTTCTCCTTCCGACAATGGACCTGATCGGGGCCCTGGATGTGGGGGATTTGGCAGCCGCCTTTGCCCATCTGCCTGTCTTCCCCGTTTTCGATTTGGGCTACTTCGTAGTCTCTCTCCTCTACCTCAAGTATGAGAAAGGTAAGTCAGGAGGAGAAGCGGCTCCCCCTTCGCCCTTCCCCACGGCAGGGCAGGCGCCTCTTTTTCCCACGGCTAGGAAATCCGTTTTCGGGTGGTGCGAAATTCTCCATCTTTTTTTACCCACTGACCTGCTTCGGAGAGCCTTCTTCATCGACTTAAATTAGCATTGATGATTAAATGGTGTTTATTGTTACCTATACCCAGCATTGTCCTTGTAATGTAAACAGAGGAGACTTGTCTGACTCTGGCTCTTGTTCCATGCCTCCATCCCCACATTCCCCGCTGTCCTAAATCCAGCCAAAGGCGTTCTTCTCCTACAGGTTGACCTGACTTCCAAGATGGACTTGCTTAAAACGAGTGGGTGGGTAGTGATTTTGGCCCAAAAGCTCCCCCCCCCCAGTGATGAGAATATTCAATCTAGGACAAGGGCCAGAATTGCAGCTCCCGTCTGCACAACAGTAAGGCAGTTTCATAGCTCGGCCATCAGGCTGGATTAAAGAGGGATAAAGATGGGGTTGCAGAAGGTGAAAAGGGCAGGAAGAAGTCTTGAGAAAGTGGCCCAGAGCTTCACAGACAGCAGAAATGATCTCCCTTCGTCCTCACTGCTAAGTGAGGTAATCCAATGTAGTGGTTTCCTTTCCAGCAGACTTGATTTTATTTGAATCTAGTGGTCTTGAAAAGGTGAGAGGCGCGTGACCAATGCCAAAGGCTCCAGATTTGCCTCATCTAATTAGAAGAAAGAAGAAAAAATGAATGAACACAAAGTGGCACTAAGGAGATCGGCCGCTTCAACATCCAGTTCTCTGGTTGAAGAACTGGCAGCTTTGAAGGGGTGAAGGGGGTGTCTTTGGTACAACTGAGTCTCCTTTGTTGGGATTTTAAAGTATTGCTTTAGCAGCAGGAGTGGATTTAAGAGTCCTGGTTCCAAAGACAGTTCTAAAATAAGAAATGATCAAGTGGGAATATCTTTCTCTTCTTGTCCACACCAAAGGGATGGGTGTCTGTGAGAAACTTGAGCCCTTGAATCTGAGACCCCTGTCTTGATGGATGGATGCAGTTGGTGACCTTCTTCTGGAAAGGACAAGCTGGGTTCCTGCCCATGAAGGCTTAAAAATGCCTGGAATTGCCTGGCTTTTTCAAATTGCCGGAGAAGGAATTACTGGGAAGGAGAGAAAAAAATTGGACCCCAATGATCCTCCAATGATCATCCAATCGCTGGGATTCAGACAGAAAGCAAAGCAATTGCCAAAGGTTTTTCCCAACCTTCTCTGATTTTCCACACTTGCCAGTCTCAAAATCTGGCATTTTGAGAATTGAGGCGTCATGAGTATTGATACTGAATTACTAGTCCTTATTGTTAGCGAGAGAACCTGCATGGTCATAGAGGGAAAGGTGCGGAGGTTTTGCTAAGAAGAACAAATCTGGATTATTTCTCTACCCTGGTCAAGCTTACAGGCCTGGTTGGTAAATTCAACTGCAGAATTATTGCTTTACTGTTTACAACATTCACTTAGATTATATCATTAGGGCTTCAATCCACTAACTTCCTTTGGAATGAAAGCATAAGAATAACATTACCATTTCAAAAGACATAACAGATAATTCTGGTATTACTAGTGATGGCAGACAGCTATTTAAAACCACAAAGTATGGTGTTAAAGTATTGGAGTGCAGGTAGTCCTCAACTTATGACTACAATTGGGACTGAAATTCTGTTGGTAAGTGAGACACTTACCATCATCATCAGCCAAATAGGTTCATTGAGTAAGTTAAGGCTTTCTTTCTTTCTTAGCCCCATCTACACCACAAGGTTGTTAGTGTGAGGCATAATTACAATAGAGGACAAAATGCTATATTCACCATCTTGAGTTGCTGAAGAAAAGGCAGGATGTAACTCCAGTTAAAATGCTCCTTCTTTCTGCAATACAGAAAATGTATATATCAATGGTTCTCAGCCTGTGGGTTGGGACCCCATTTAGGGTCGAACGACTATTTCACGGGGGTCGTCAAACAACGCAGTCCGCCATTTCCCCCCCCCCCTTTTCCTTAGCTGTGCTACTCCCTTTTATTCTATTGGCTTTTGAAAGCCAATAGAATAGACTCTCTTGAATCGAGTCTAATTCTATTGGCTTTCAAAAGCCAATAGGAATTGTCCAGGCTGTCTCTGCCCTGCTGAGCCCGCCAAAAGTCCCATTCTGCAAATGGTGCTGCACCAGTTGAGTAGTCCTCGACTTACAACCGGTTGAGTAGTCTTTGACTTACGACCGGTTGGGGGTCGCGGCATTAAAAAGGTTGAGAACCACTGGTATATATCATCTTGAAAATGCACAATAGCTGCAGAAATGGTACCCAAAATTCCTCTTCCACCAAAACACCTGTTTTCAGGTACAAACAATATAAAGAACCTTCATTAGGCTAGTCAAACCACCTTTATCTCTATCTGGCAGGAACTGGGGTGACACCCTGGTTAATCAGTAAGAGAAGGTTTTAAGAACAGGAGTGTCAAACTGCCGGCCCATGGGCCAGATGCGTCACATGGAAGCTGTGCCCACCCCAGCTCTGGCAAGGAGGAAAAGTCACGATATGTCGTGACACGTCACGTGACGCGATGAGCTTGACACCCCTGCTCTAGAAGAATCTCCAGAAACTCCAAGCCACTTTCAGAAGTTCTGCGTATTATGTAACATTCAATTCTGGGCAGAAATGACTCACTTCCCTCAGTTCACCTTCCCTGAAAGTCATTTCACTAATTATGCCTGCAATAGCATCTCTAGCTTCTTGGTGGCTCCTCTCTACCACCAGTTGCCGATTCCTTTCTGCAATTAATAGTATGGACTCGCAGCTGCTTCATCTTAGCATGGAGGACAGAGAGGGAATTCTTTAGGTCATTGGTTCTCAACCTATGGGTCGTGACCCCGTTTGGGGTCGATCGACCATTTCACGGGGGTCGCCAAGCAAGGCTGTCCGCCATTTTTTCCCCCTTTTCCGGCGGGTGCCTTACCTCCCTTGGGCTGGGCCAGCTGGTGGCCCAGCCGGTGGTCGGCCTGCTCCGTCTCTGCCGCTTGCCAGCTACGCCTCGGCCGGCGCAGGGGGCGGCACCACGCATGCGCAGCACTCCCGGGCAAGGAAAGTCCTTGACTTACAACCGGTTGGGTAGTCCTCGACTTACGATCGGTTTAGTCCTCGACTTACGACCAGTTGGGGGTTGCGGCATTAAAAAGGTTGAGAACCACTGCTTTAGGTCATCCACCAGAGCCTGACTTGCCCCAGACAATATGCCTTGGTTGTTTTATGCGTTCTTGAAGAAATTAAACAATGATTGGAAAATTTCCCGCATGCAAAATTTGGTATGTTCTACTAGTACCAGAACATAGAAACTGTGGCCTGTACTTGACTCCCTTTTCCAAAGTCCTGGGCACAATCTCCAGACAACTTCCAAAATGTTGTTGCCAAATTATACTTTTAACTGTGACAAAAGGAGTAATATGTTTAGCATTTGAAATGTATTCCATTAAGTTTGTGTCAATTAACTATGTTTTCCTCTCACATTGCTCTGTCCTGGTCCTGACTTCTTTTTGAATGCATCCTCCATAGCATGTATGGAAAAGGAAAGGAAAGGAAAGGAAAGGAAAGGAAAACAACACTCACTTTAGACCGAATCTTTATTCTTGGTGACTACCTGGAAAAATCCATATACTTTTCTTTACAATAGTATGGAAGTGTTTGCTATTTCCTTCCTTTGGGAATGTCATTCAGAAATCAAGTGCAAACCTCACCCTAAAAGACAATATTTGCATACCTCCTTCCTGAATAAAAGAAACCAAAGTTCAAATGTTTGTTCATTCCCTAGCCAAGATTCCCTCAGTCTCCCTATTTCCTGGACTATAAAATGGAACCCGTGTTAGAATCATAGAATCATAGAGTTGGAAAGGATTTGGAGGTTGTCCAATCTTTTCTTGAAAACCTTCAGTGATGGAGCACTCACAACTTGGGAGACAAGCTATTCCATTGGCTAATTGTTGTCACTGTCAGGAGATTTTCTTAGTTCCAAATTGGATCTCCCTAAAGAGCTTCTACCCATAGCTTCTTGTTCTACATTCAGGTGCCTTGGAGGATAAATCAACTCCCTCTTCCCTGTGGCACTCTTCAGGTATTGGAAGACTGCTATCATGTCTCCCCTCCCCCCCCCCAGCCTTCTCTTTGTTAAACATACCTAGTTCCTTTAGTTTTCTTCATAGGATTTAGTCTCCAGATCTTTAGCATCTTTGTTGTTCTTCTCTACACTCTTTCTAGGGCCTCAGCATCTTTTTTTGTATCATGGTGGCCAGAACTGGATGCAATATTCCAAGTGTGGCTTCACCAGTGTGATACAGACCAGTACTATCATTTCCCTTGATCTGTTGATGCAGCCTAGGACTGTATTGGCTTTTTTGGCAGCTGTAGCACAATGCTGACTCAGACTTTAAGTAGTGATTCATCCAGACACTTAGATCCTTTTCATAATTTCTATAAGGAAAAAATAATTCCTAATCTTTTATGGACTAGAGATCTGTAGGGTGGGTGTCTTGAGGAGAACAGTCTTTGCTACATTCACTTTATTTTTAGACCACAGCAAACATATCAGTTTCATTGGAAGGGGGGATCCAAACCCAATTCCTTTCTAATGGCTGCAGAGGTGAGAACAGCTGCTCCAAAGTATTATGCATTGGCTGGTTCATTCATTTGAACCTGCAAGGTTGACAGGAGAAACAGAGACAATGAAGGGCTGAATTATACTTTGACAGTCAACATATTGATTATGGAACAATGCTTCCAATATTATTTCCAAGCATACCTATTTAGTCTCAGGAGCCAAGTAGGAAGAAGATTTTTGCCACTCCATCAGATGCGTAATAGATGGATCATTGGAAGAGGTCACTCTGAGATGTGTAAGTCGCCCATCCTTGGGTTAGGCCAGGGGTAGGCAATCTTGGCTCTTTTAGGACTCATGGACTTCAACTCCCAGAATTCCTGAGCCAACATGGCTCAGCTTGGAAACCTCTCCCTTTCCCCTCAGCATGGCTGGCTCAGGAATTCTGGGAGTTGAAGTCCACGAGTCATAAAAGAGCCAAGATTGCCTACCTCTGGCTTAGGCCATAAGATGATAAGAGTTAAATACAGGTAGTTCTCGACTTACGACCATAGTTGAATCCAAAATTTATGTTAAGTGAGGCATTTTTTATGTGAGTTTTGTCCCATTTTACAATCTTTCTTGCCTTAGTTCTTAAGTGAATCACTTCAGTTGATAAGTTAGTAACTCAGTTGTTAAGTGAGTCTGGCTTCCCCACTGACTTTGCTTGTCGGAAGGTCTCAAAAGTTGATCGCATGACATAGCAACGGTCAAATATGAACCAGTTGCCAAGCATCTGAATTTCGATTATATGACCATGGGGATGTTGCAGAGGTTGTAAACTGTGAAAAACAGTCATAAGTCTTTTTTTCGTTTTTGGTTTTTTTCAGTGATGTGTAACTTTGAACAGTCACCAAATGAATTGTAATAAGTTGAGGACTAACTGCACTATATTTTAAACAAATCAGAATCCAAGATACATATTTATGACACTTTTACTTGAGAACAAAGGCCTGTGATACTAGAAAGCAACAGCAATGCCAATGTTAGAATAGTTTGCTCAAGAGCATTGCCCACATGTATCTAACCACGGCACAAACATGGTTTGGCAATCTCTTTCTTTCTAAACTGATCAAATTTACACCCTAGACCAGTTTTGTTTAATGGTTAAGGTGCTGGCCTAAGGACCAGGAGACTGTGAGTTCTAGTCCCACTTTAGGCATTAAAAACCATCTGGATGACTTTGGGCTAATTCAGTGATGGTGAACCTTTTAGAGACCAAGTGTCCAAACTGCAACCCAAAATCCACTTATTTATCACCAGGTGCCAGGTGGGCGTGGCCCACTGGGTGGGCGTGGCTGTGGTGGTTATGGCAGACTGGGTGGGTGTGGCCAAGGTGGGCATGGTCACCTCGATGTTGCTTGTGGGGAGGGACGCTTGTGGGGGACAGGGCAGGGTTGGGGGAGATCCAGGGGGTCTTTGGCAGGTGGAGCGGTGGGCAGGAGGCTCGTCCTGCAGGGTGAGGCAAGGCAAGGCAATGCAGGGTGGGGGTGCCATTGTTGCAGGGCGAGGCAGGGGCCGGGGCGGCCGCTGCCTGACACTATCAGCCCCCGCACACAGAGGCCAGTGAGTGCATGGGGGTCAACAGTGTCCATCAGCAGCGCATTCTGGGGCTCCGCAGCCCACCACCAGTAGTTCAGAGAAGCTGCCTCTGAGCTGGATGGCTGGCCGACAGCCAAGGAAGCGATGCAGTGGGTCGTGCCCGGGAAAAGGAGAGCATGTGAGGCCAGGAGGGATGGGATGGGGGAGAGGGAAACCACCCATCCTGGGATGCATCCAGTCACATGGGACCTCAGCGAGTTAGCGGGCAGCTGGTTGAAAAGGGATGGTTGCCATCTCCGGGGCATGGCACATGTGCCCACAGAGAGAGCTCTGAGTGCCGCCTCTGGCACGTGTGCCATAGGTTCGCCACCACTGAGCTAATTATTCTCCTTCAGCTCAACCCATCTCATATGGTTGTTATTGTTGTGGGGAAAATAGGAGGAGGAAGGAGTATTAGGCATGTTTGTTGTCCTGAATTATTTATAAACAATAATAAAAGCAGAATTAAAAAATGAAATAAATAGTTAAATGGCAATAAATGCCTTTTCTAGTCTCTCTTTGCTGCCTTTGTAGTTGTTTTGCAAATATCTTGTAGATTTTGTAACTGGGTCTAAAAACCCAATATACCTGTATTACCCCAAGACTCCAAATGGTACAAAACTCAAACACTGGACTTGCATACAAAAATAAGATACCAGAGCACATTCAAAGTATCTGAATCAATAAATAAGACTGAAGCACACATATCCAAGTTAAAACATAAACCCTATTTTTTTTTTTAGCTAAAAACATTAACCTATTCCTTAAAGCAATGTTTCTCAAACTCAACAACTTTAAATTGTATGGACTTCAATGGCCCAAATTCCCTAGTTAGCTTCTGGCATCTGAAGTTCCCACATCTGAAAGTTGCTGAGGTTGAGAAACACTGCCTTAGAGACATACCAGGCTCTAGAACAGCGGTTCTCAACCTGTGGGTCGGGACCCCATTTGGGGCCGAACAACCATTTCACGGGGGTCGCCAAACAACACAGTCCACTATTTCCCCCCCTTTTCCTTAGCTGTGCTACTCCCTTTTATTCTATTGGCTTTTGAAAGCCAATAGAATAGACTCTCTTGAATAGAGTCAAATTCTATTGGCTTTCAAAAGCCAATAGGAATTGTCCAGGCTGTCTCTGCCCTGCTGAGCCCGCCAAAAGTCCCATTCTGCAAACAGTGCTGCACCAGTTGAGTAGTCCTCGACTTACGACTGGTTGAGTAGTCCTCGACTTACAACCGGTTGGGGGTCATGGCATTAAAAAGGTTGAGAACCACTGCTCTAGAAGAAAGGGTCTTTTTGCCTCTGTGGATTTTCCTAGTTTCTTGTGGATTTGCAACTGTTTTTCAGAGGTTCCAATTCCTTGACTCAATCCTTAGCTTCCTGAGGCTTTGGATTTTAAATAGCAGTTTTCTCTTAGAAAGAGAGCAGGGTAGAGGAATATAGAGACATAGGAACATGACCTTAATGGAAATATGCAGGAATCATTACATAGGTAAAATGGGATCAAATATTTTCTAAGCTCATCCAGAGCAAGGAGATAACATTCAAAAGTGGCTCAATCAGATTCCTGACTGATTCACTGAAAGAATAGGGACTAGGTACAGCACTATCAGATACACAAAATGCTGTTTTTAAAGCCAACTTCAATAAAAGTATTTTAGCCCTCCTGGGAAGGGTGATTTCCAGGTCTACTTAGTACAGCTGAGAAGAGATTTCCCTATTCTTTATGTAATTAAGTAGGAACTTTCCTGCTGAAGAGAAAGGTATTTAAATCTCTCCGGAGAAGTAACTGAAGGCTTCACAACAGAAGTAAGCAGCCTGAAGTGAGGGACTGAAGTAAGTTCTCTCAAGATTTTTTCATCCTAGAACAGCTGGATTTGAAACGGCAGTTTTCTCCTTCTATCTCTGCAGGTGTGGTGGAGCTGTCCCGGAACAGCCCATTGGCCTCTTGGGTCTGTGCTATGCTGTATTGTTTTGGCAGCTACATCCTTGCTGATCTCCTGCTTGGAGAAGCCCCTATTGATTACTTCAGCAACAACTCCAGCATACTTCTGGCCACAGCTGTTTGGTAAGGCCACCTTGTGTGACCATAAGGCTAGGCCTCAGTGCAGAGCCAGGACTTAGGAACAGCAGCAGCACTTAGACTTATATGCTGCCTCATAATGCTTTATAGCATTCTCCAAGGGTTTATAATGTCAGCATATTGTCCCCAACAATCTGGATCCTCATTTAACCTATCTCAGAAGTATGGAAAGCTGAGTTCATTGGGATTGAACTCCTGGCTGTGGGCAGAGTTAGCCTGCAATACTGCATTCTAAACACTGCACCACCAAGCCCCTTACACTCCACTTCTCCACTAGAGTTCCTGTTGCCCTCCAAAAGAGATATTTCTAAAAAAACAGAATGAACATAAATATGACTCCAGGTTAATACATCTGCTTGACACATACCAGTTGCTGAAACTGTTAAATTGTTAGTTTCACATTGCTATTGTTGGTTAAGGGAAGGAACTGCTATCACTGCCAAGTTGTGCATATGAAAGAGAGATATACTAAGATTTCTCCTTCCAAGCTTCCCAAACTAACAGAAGAAAAGATAACTGAGAATCTTGTGCTGTCTAAAAATCTAATATGATTGTTGTGGAATAAGTACGTAATGTCCTGGATTCTGTCTCTGTCTGTCTGTCTGTCTGTCTGTCTGTCTATCTGTCTGTCTATCTGTCTATCTATCTATCTATCTATCTATCTATCTATCTATCTATCTATCTATCTATCTATCTATCTATCTATCTATCTATCTATCATCTTTGCTAATCATAATAATAATAATAAAGTTGGAAGGGACCTTGGAGGTCATCGAGTCCAACCCTCTGCTCAGATAGGAAACCCTACACCATTTTGGTCAGATGGCTGTCCAGTCTCTTCTTAAAAATTTCCAGTGTTGGAGCATTCACTGCTTCTGGAGGCAGTTTGTTCCATTGATTAATTGTTCTAACTGTCAGGAAGGGATAAATGGATGATGCTAAAAGTTATATGGATGGACAGATGGATAGGAGACATATGATTGAAAATAGAGTGTAGTTGTCCATTACAAGCCACAGTGTTTTAAAATGATGCCATGGGGGTCCTGACATCATTACACAATGATACAATTGTACCTAATGACATTCAATGTATGTGTCACTTATCTGATGATTTCAAGATGCACAAATTGTTATTTTCTCTACTGCCACACATATTTACCCACCCCTTGTAGAGTGGAGAAGCTAAGCAGGTCAATAGAAATAAAACATATTATTCAGGTAGCAATGATTATGTATTCATTACAAAAACATTTGCTAGATGATAAAAGAGACAAACTTTAATTGGTAAATCAACTGAAAAAAATTACATGTACAAACAAGAAAAGATGGAATGGAATTACCTGAAAAATAGCAGTTTATTTTTTTTCATGCTACAATCTGCTCAAAAATTGCCTTTTTAAGGCCAACAATAGAGTCTCTATCATGGGAGGCTGAAGCTTATTTCTTCTCTTCTTACTTTTTTTATGTCATCCTTGTTGATGTCAGATCTCTTTCAACCCAATGACTGGTATCACTTTTTATTCTGCATTGCTTTCCAGGTACCTAATCTTCTATTGCCCTATGAACTTGTTTTACAAGTGTGTCAGCTTTCTGCCTGTCAAACTGATTTTTGTGGCAATGAAAGAGGTAGTCCGAGTTCGCAAGATCGCTGCTGGTGTTCATCATGCCCACCATCATTACCATCATGGTTGGCTCATTATGGTCATAATTGGATTTGTCAAAGGTGAGCTCTGTCATTTCAGCATTGTGATCCCACTCAGTATTCAGACAGGTGGTGGAATGGTGAGTGTCAGAACTGCTGAGATATAGATTAGGCTGAGATTTCTCATCTTCTGGGGAAGAAAAACAGATGGCTGTATTCTTTATTTCTCAGAGAAAATTTCTTGCATAAAACAAGGATGGCGAACCTATCACTCTCCAGATGTTGCTGAATGATTACTTCCACCTGTTCTAGCCAGCATGGCCAGTAAAAAAGGGATACTAAGAGTTACAGGTCATTAATATCTGGATTAACACAAATTCACAGCATGGCAGGCCAAAGTGAAGCTCTTATGAAAAACTATTCTACAAATAAGCACCATAACTGAGAAGCTTCTCCTGCTAAACGTGACCCCACCTTTCATTGTCAGGGTGGTGGGGAACTACTAACTAGTTTTTCTGTTGGGTATATGGTTGAAGATGGTGGTCCTGAAACTATTTTGTTGACCAGATTCCTGCTCTAAACCCCCAAACAAATGGTAGGATGTTGGAATGCATTTCCAGCTGAATCACATGTTGCGTTCTTCCATTCTTCCTAAAGCTTGGTGAGATGCTTAAAACTGGGATACCAACGGGACTTCTGAACTCTTTTCTTTATTTTTGGCAAATACAGTTGTCAAACACAATAAGAGGGTTTCCTTTCATTTAAGGTAGAATAACACCCCAAAAAGCTATCTCAAGATACAATTCTATAAAGCCTCCTTTAGAAAAGATCAAAGGGAATAAAATAGTATCTTGGCCCTCTCCACATATCTGGTATAGCCCCGCCCATCATACATCATTAATCAGTGAGTATTGACAGTGAGAACAATTAATGAATGGCTTGCCTTCAAAAGTTATGGTGCTCCATCACTGGAGGTTTTCAAGAAAATATTGGACAATCATTTGTCCGAGATGGTGTAGGGCAGGGGTAGGCAAACTTGGCTCTTTTATGACTCGTGGACTTCAACTCCCAGAATTCCTGAGCCAGCCATGCTCAGGAATTCTGGGAGTTGAAGTCCACGAGTCATAAAAGAGCCAAGGTTGCCTATGGTCTTCTGCTTGAGCAAGGGTTGGACTAGAAGACTTCTAAGATCCTTTCCAACTATTATTATTCTATTCTACTATTTCCAGTGGAACATTGCTCAGGCTGCTAGGTACAAAAATGATAGAGATCACACAGAGGTTCATGATTGAAGCATCTGTTACCACTCATAAGACATTTCCCTTCTGATGTAGAAATTGAACCAAGAAGGAAGAAATCACGTTCCTTTTCTTTTCTGTTAATAACTGATTTCATCTGTCAGGCTAGAAATTCCACCAACTAACTCTTCCCTACTAATCTGGAATGCTTTTGCCACAAGGACGTTTTAGATATAGAGAATTGCTTTATATCTGACCAGACCCTTTGTCCTTCAATACTTTCTCTTGTGACTGGTAGCCTCTCTCTAATATCTTATTTTAGCTAGAAATGTCAAGATCAAGCCTGAGATCTTTCAAATGAAAAATAAGTTTTAAGACAGTGAGAAAAGCTTGTGTATTTCTTATTTTTACATGAAGATGAGTTTTGAGATCAAAGTCATTATTTGGGGGTTCAGTTGTTTTGATTGTTCTGGTTGTGATCTGGAAAGAGAAGTACTTTTAATCTGATGTATTTCCAAAATGATTGAAGCAGCCTGCATCACACTAAAATCCTGTGGGGTCAAGACTGTTTCGATTCAAAACAGTACAAATTCAAAATGTTTATTTTTTTTACATTTTTCTGTACTGCTTTTCTTTGGCTAATTCAAAGCAACCAGAAACTAGAATAATCCAACTTCTATAAACTTAAGGTAGGGGCTCTGGCATCACTACCTTATTTTCAGTTTTAAATAGTAAACTTAGAAACGGGCATCGCTTTTATTATTCAGAATAATTAGTGAAATTGCCATTTCCTTAAAGGAGCTGTTGTGGCTGAGAGCACCACCACAAAGATGCTCAATGTTTTTCTCCTGCATTAGATTACCTACTTTGACAGGAATTATCAGTGAGCATAGGAAAATGAAATTCTGCTCACCTGCATTCTCACTGCTGGTCTGTTTACAAGTGTGCTACCATCTTTCTGTTTGTAGGTTCTGGAGTTGCCTTGATGTCCAACTTTGAGCAATTGCTACGTGGTGTCTGGAAGCCAGAAACAAATGAGTTCCTTCATATGACCTTGTAAGTAGAGAAACTGAAACCTTTGGACTGGTGTGTCTTCTGGATAGAGATCAGTCATGTTGTAACTAACCTGGAAGGAATCTGATGATTAATGGAAATTAGAAAAATCAGTAGAAATTGGATAAGGGATTCTCAAAACACATACTGTCTTCACCTTCTGGGGTTGTGGGTGCTCCATCACTGCAGGTTTTCAAGAATACAGGCCATCCTCAACTTACAATCTTTTGTTTAGTTTAGTTCAAAGTTGCAAAAAAGTGACTTATGATCATTTCTCACACTTAACGAGCATTGCAGTAATCTCTACAAAAAGCATGTCCTTTCTCTAAATTTTGGATTTATTTATCTGAGATGGAATCACAGTTGTGCTTCTTATGAAGGCTTGCTTGTCTTGCAGTCCATCCAAAGCCAGTCTGTATGGAGCAGTGCTCTTCACCCTTCAGCAAACCCAGTGGCTTCCCATCTCCAAAGCCACCCTTATCTTCTTCTTCACTATTTTTATGATCATCTGCAAGGTAAATTCCTCTGTCCGGGGCACATGTGAGCATTTGGGTGGATTGAATGGGGGAAGGAGCCAAATCCATTTCTGTTCACTGGAAGGTCTTCAGAAAGGCAAGGAAGCTTCAGGCCCTGGACTCATTCATTGGAATAAACTATGGATAGTTGACTAAACTACGGTCCTTGATTTATGCATAACACTAAGCTATTAACCGTAGTTTAGATATTTCCCACAATTCACTAAGTTAAAGCTAACAAATCGCACTATGGGTTAACAGAAGCATTTGGTAGAAGCCACAGTGACATTCAACATATCGTGAACTCAGATTATGAAATTTGTATCAGTCACTTCATTGACACCATCAGTCACTTCATTGACACTTCATTGACACCAATATCAGTCACTTCATTGACACATTACTGACATCATTTGCATGATGAGGTCATGACATTCATGATATTACATTCTTCCCCTATTGATGGACTCCTGTGTGAGTTTTGAATTTCCAGAGATATGAAAGGAAGCTTGGCTGGTGTATCATAAGAAATACTGTTAGGTTGCTTAACAATGGAGACCTTTCCAGTAGCCTTTCCACAGTATAGCTAGAGTCCTGCTGACTATAGGTTGGAACTGTGGTGACCCCATAGAAGCAGCACCAGCACTTTATTGAAAAGGGCTTGATTGGCCAGAACAAGAGATCCATATGCCAGCCTTGGTGTAAGAAGGGGTAAGAGGAATGGAAAGAAACACAGGTTGGAATCACTTCGATTTACTGTAGCTGACTGAGCAATGGAAAGCCTGGCACAGTAGGTGACCACTAATGGAGCTTTTTCCTGTCATGCAGGTGTTTTTGACAGCAACTCACTCCCATAGCTCACCATTTGCCCCTCTGGAAAATGTGGTGTGCCCCATCCTCTTTGGCTCTGCATTTGCCAGTCATGATAATCACCACCACCACCACCACCATGGAGGATCCCAGGAGCCATCCCTTCCATCACCACCTCAGATGCCAGCCAAATCAAGGGAGGAGCTCAATGAAGGAACCCGGAAACGGAAAGCCAAGAAGGTGGAATGAGCAACAAGAAGGCTGACAGATCCATCTGAACCGCCAAAACTCTGCTGCATACCTTGTGTGACTTATTGCCTTCCAAAGACATGGTTGGAGGAGGCTCCCAGGAAGATCAGTCCTCTTCTTCTGGCCCCTGCCTTGGTTTTCCTGGCCTGTCACCTGTGAGACGCAGAACTAATGTCCAAATGGACCTTTCATTACAGTTTCTAGCTCAGCTTTTCTATTGGTCTCCTCCCCTTCCTAAACCACACCAATGGGAAAGCTGGGATGTATTTTGGTGTCTCCTCCATATGGCAGAGAGAGAGAGAGAGAGAGAGAGCACTTCTTAGCCTGCAAAACAATCCAGGGATCTGCACTCAGGCCATCCTTTCAGGACTCTAAGGCCAGTGATATATTTCAAGGGCAGAGAGACGTTCCAAATGGAGTGACTGTCATTTCACTCTCTACATCAACATTTTGGATGTCTTATTTGGTTGCCATTTGTATAAAGGCCTTGAGCATAGGAGAAGACCATTGCTGCTGTTGCTGCTCTTTGGGCTGTTAATATATGTGTATCTGTGTTAGCATGTTGCCATTTGTATATACCTCCCCAAAGTTTGATGAGCTTTGCTGTAGGGAAGGAAACCAAAGCAACTACTGAGTGTTTCAATCCTAGCCTCTTTGCCAAACACTGTGAGACATGGACATGCATGTAATTTATTTATTGATTGATGCTCCTTCCCCCAGGATAATTATTTATTGTTGCCTAAGGATTTTAAGTAGTTTGCTTTCTTCTGCTATGCCTCTTCTGCAAACAGTTGGGTTGTTCCTACTGAACTGATTTGGATTCTGTTGTTGTTTTCCTCCTTTGATTAAGAGCTGATAAAAGTGAGGGGCTATTGGCAGAGGTGAGAATTAGCTTCTAGCAGCTATATAAGCCTGTAGGTAGGATGCCTAAAGAATCCTTGCCTATGAGTTATGGTATATCTACAGATTTTGTCTAGAAAGTCAAAGCTAGACTATATGAATAATGGAGCCATGGTGAGCACCTGCAGAGTTCCCTTCTTGCATCAGAGTAGTCAGTTGCCAGCTCCTGAGATTACAAAGAAGACTTAAACTCTAATTAGAGCATAGAAGGAGACTCTGACTGGGGTATTGACTATCACAGGACTTCCCTTGCTTATCATTTAGCTCTGACAAAAACATGCCACTGCAAGCTCTTTTTTCTGCTGTGTCCTTATGATGTTGCCTTCACCTTCTCCACCACACATCCCGAGGCAACAAAGTCGTCCTTAGGTGGTCCAGTGTAAAAGTGATGTTTTCCTCCTTTTAAGCAATAGTTTTATTGTATGGTAAGTGCAATCTGGCACCGTTCACCAGCCATTCTGTCAGTAGTGCTTCCAGATGACCTACCGTATATGGGTTGAGGTCAGCCAAGCACCTGTTGACCATTTGAAGTAGCACATTGTTACTTTCCCTATCAAGTCCCCAGGCACAGCTCTGTAGGACGATCCTAATCTGGACAGCAGACGGGTTTGGTTCTTTCGCATGGGGCTCTTCCACTTTATGCACAGGGCCAATCCCCGACTAGTAGCAGCAGTGGGAAGGGCTGCACTGTGAAGCAGGAGAGAGAGAGAGAGAGAGAGAGAGAGAGAGAGAGAGAGAGAGGGAGGGAGAGGGGGGGAATGGCTCTCACTCTGCTGCACTTTTCATCCTCTGCTTAACTCTGCCAGTGAGATGGGCGGCATATAAATTTAACAAATAAATAAATAAAACTGCTTTTGAACATGTGTTTATTCTTCTTCTCGAAGAGCACTAAGCCCATGTTCTAAAGCAGACCGAACAAGAGTCAATAAGTGCACATAAGTTATGCTCTGGAATGTCATAGAGGAAGACAAGTAGCAGATTTGATGGCCGATGTTTTGATATCAGCCATTTGAGCTGATCCAGGTTTCCAAACCCAGGAACACCTGGTGAATAAGGAGGCTCCTCTTTCCTGTCTTCTGCTACCTCTTGCCATTTAGATAATTGAACTCCCCCCAGTTGGAAGAAGTGACAGATAAAACGGGGACAAATTCTGGCAAACGGTGAACCTGCAGATCTAGTAGTTCTAGTTTGAGATCAGCTCAAACCATTACCAGTCATAACGATGCTTGAGTAGGAGACTGTTTTCCCACAAGTTGGTTAAGTTGTGAAAGTTGGACACCGCTCTCCAGCTACTGACCAGAATAAAGACAATGGGGCATAGCAATGGGAACAGATGCCAAAGTAGCTTTTTGTTGGCTCACAGCATTTTAATGGACCTATAGGGAAGAGGCCCATGAGTGGCGAGGAGTGGAAATAGCCATCCAGAAATAGAAACTCCTGACTTTCCTTTTCTCCTTTTGGGGACAATTGTCTCCTGTTGGACATCCGCAAGAGAAGGAACTGATTGACATGAAGAAGCAGAAGGGCCTTGGAGAACACTTCCTTCTCCAAGATGTATGCTTCTTGGTTAAAGATACATCTCATTAAAAAGTGCCTTTTCCTTAGCAAATCTCTGCCCCCTGGATTTTTATCCATGACTAGAACAGCTGTGGTTTGGTGGATATAGCCATTCTTAAAATAAAAGCCCTCCATGGTGTAACTGAATGGAGAGTTGTGCAGCTTCTTTGTACATTTCTATCTTAACATTTCTCACTGTACTTGAAGGAAGAAGATGCAATAAATGTTTCTTGAGATAGAGTGTGAAGATGGGATGGGATGAGAATACCAGATTTTGGGGATTCAGAATGGATTCATTTCTTCTCCTAAAGTAGCGTTTCTCAACATTGGCCACTTAAAGATGTGTGGACTTCAACTTTTAGAATTCCAGGAGTTGAAGCCCACACATTATCAAGTGCCCAAGGTTGGGAAACACTGTTCTTATCCAAGAGCTGCCCATTTTCTAAACTTCTTTGAGTCTCCCAGAGTCCATCCTAATGTTTCCCTTTACAGATTATGGCTATGCAGAGTTTGTGACCATTTTCTTTTTCTTCGTCCTTGTTTGCAGCAATTTTTAGCTGCAGGACTGCATCTCGTCCCCTTTCCTGTTTAGATAGGGCCATGCAGATTATCAATATTTGCAAGAAAATTTGGGGGAAAAAAGTTCAGCCTAAAAACACAACTGTATCTCCTCAGTCTTTCCCTTCTTCCTAAAGTCTTTTCTTTCCATGCCTGGCACTACCATACCTGGCAAATGGCTTACACAAGGAAAGCTGCTATTTCTTTTTAAGTGTCCCTGTTGTAATAATCTTATTTTTATAATTACAGCAGTTCTTTTATTATTCCAGCAGGACAGCCTTCTCAAATGCTCTTCAGATAAGTTCCTGTGATTTGCATTCAGTTCATACTCACTTCAAATTATGAAATGGTACAGGTAATACAGGTGTTTCCCAAATACTGTATTATTTTGTAAATAAATATATTAGAAATATCTTTTTCTGCTTTTCACACTTCTCCAAGCAATCATTCTGTCCAAGAATACAGGATTCTTTTGGAGTTGGTGGAGTCTTTGAGAGAAGTCCTGAAAAGTTTACAACTATTTTATCCTTTCATTTGTATCTTTTTCCCGAACCAAAAGATATGTATAGTTGATGATGTCATTAAGTTATTGGAGTGGAAGGGGAAAATTTGAGGGCATCCTTTGGAGAAAAAGATAACATTTCCAAGGCTTAAGAGACCCTTTATATCTCTTCAATAACGGCTATACTGTAAATGTCAAGCTCCAAAAACCAAGAAAGACATGTTTTGATTTTTCCAAGCAGATTTGTTTATTGTTCTTTATCCATAGACAGGCATTTATTTATTAAATTTGTTTGCAACCCATCTCACAAAAGCTGACTACCAGCCATATAAAGCATATACTTTGGAAACTATTAGGAAGGAACCACCTTCAACCTCTTTCTCTCACACAAAGTATCTGAACTGAGTTTGCTCTTGCTCCTCTGGAATACACTCCCTGTCACCTGGGAATCCAGACTACATTCCATCACAGTAAGTCTCTAGTGGGAAAATTACCATAGTCTTCCCCTGATTCTTTAAATGCTTTTATTTATATTGTTATTGTCTATCATTGTCTATTTCTCTCTTATTTTTAATGTTTTTATTTCTGAGCCACCCAGAGCTGTCAGGAGTCAAGCAATATATAATTTTAATCAATGAATTAATAATAATTCTACTCATAAGCTATTGCATGCTCCAAGTGCTGTTGGGATATAGCTTGCAAGTCTTGGGTTATCGGATGCAAAAATCCAGATGACCATTAGAAAGATTTCAAAACAAAGGATTACATTTGCGTGTATCTTTTTACTGCTGTCTAACAATTCTCTGGGAGACTTCAGTTCTGATAACTGTTAGTGATTTCATTCTTTCTCACATGGAAAACCAAACATGGTAGTATCTTGCCACAGAAGGCTTTTTTTAAAAGAAACCTGTTGCAGATCATATGCTTCTGTGGATTATAGAAGCATAAATCAAAGATTTTTAGAGTTGGAAGGGATTACCTAGATCATCTAATCCAACTCTCTGATTTATGCAGGAAAATTGATTAGACTGCAGAAAAGGGGCTGTTCAGTCTCTTTTTAAAAACCTCTAGAGATGGAGACTCACAGCCTCCATATGTAGAATGCTTTAGGGTGATACCATCACTAAGTTTTTCCTTATGTTTACCCAACATCTAAGTAACTTACATTTGTAATTTCTGGTCCTGTTTTTTATAACCTTGAAAAAGACAAGTAACTTCCTTTTATGTATCTAGCCAAGCTTCTTTCTTCTGACTGAATATTCCAAATTCTTTCAGACTTTCATATAAAGTTGAACCCAATTGTAACCCATAATTGTTGGCAAAAGCAAACCCTCAATTATTTCTTAGTGGAAAACATACAGACATGGAAGTGGAAAGTCAGAATTCTCTCTTGGGATCCCACTGCTCAAAAAGGGAACACTTGATTCAGGACATCTTTGTGCATGTCATCTGGAAGATTGCCTTACATTACTTTACAGGTCTGGTGGCTACCTAAGACCTTTGCTTGATAGCTTTGATCTAACTCCAAACTAAAAAAGAATCCATGTCTTTTCAGAGACTCAATATATCCAGGAATGCTGCTAATGATGTGAAATTAGCATTATAGAATAACAGAGTTGGAAGGGACCTTGGAGGTCTTCTAGTCCAACCCTCTGCTCAGGCAGGAATCCCTGAACTATTTCAGACAAATGGTTTCCAATCTCTTCTTAAACACTTCCAATATTGGAGCATTCACAATTTCTGGAGGCAAGTTGTTCCACTGATTAATTGTTCTAACTGTTAGGAAATTTCTCCTTATTTCTAGGTTGTTTGTCTTTCTTGTCCTGCCTTCAGGTGCTTTGGAGAAAAGTTGACTCCCTCTTCTTTGTGGCAACCCCTGAGATATTGGAACACTGCTATCATGTCCCCCCTCGTCCTTCTCTTCATTAAACCAGGGCTTTTCAACCAGTGGTACGGGTACCACCTATGGTACATTGGCACCTGGCAGGTGGTACGTGACCATCCTAGAAAAGTGGTAGCGGGGGAGGGGAGTGAGAGTGCCGCTGGGTGGGCAGGCAAGTGTCTTGCTTGGCTGTGCCTTGGGGGGCACTTTTTTCAGTGCCATTGTAACTTCGAACAGTCACTAAGCAAACTGTTGTAAGTCGAGGACTACCTATACTTTATCACTTTTTTCCTTTTGGGGGGGGCGATCATCAAGTTTTTGACACCTTGCTAGGCGACTGGTGGTACTCTTATATTGCCATATCCTAAAAGTGGTACAATGGGTGAAAAGGTTGAAAAACCCTGCATTAAACTACTAGACATACCCAATTCCAGCAACCGTTCTGTATATGTTTTACCTTCCAGTCCCCTGATCATCTTTGTTGCTCTTCTCTACACTCTTTCTACTGTCTCAACATCTTTTTTACATCATGGTGACCAAAACTGGGTGCAGTATTCCATGTGTGGCCTTACCAAGGCATTATATGTCCTGGGCAGAATGTTCCAATCTCCAAAAGGCAGAATCAGCATCTCCCCACCTACACATGTCATAGGCAACTCCATCTGAGGGCTCAAGAGTGCTAAATTTAGCAGCAATTTAATCTGAAAAGAGGCCTCAGTCTTGCAATGTCAATCCGGGTAGCTCTACGCTCTTGTGCCCTCCCTCCCTCCCTGTGATATTTTTATTGAGTTCAGCATGTCAAGAATTTCAGGGCAAAAAGAAAGTCACCTTCTTCTGGAATGGCTTATCTTGGTGGCTTTTCAAATGCAACAGATGTCTGAGCTACCAATTTCTGAGGCTAACTCAACCCAAGTGTTGATCTTTTCCACTGCCCTCCAACCACAGCCTTTCCTCTTCAGTTTTGGGGGATGAAGGCTCCAGGGAATTTAGCACATCTCCCTGCTTAGTACAGAGAAAAATGCAGATGTTCAACAGACAGCAAGTTTGAATCAAAGAAGATGGAGAATGTTAGAATGTTATGTGCTGCTAATGAATGGAGTATAGCATGCTGTATCCTGGCTTATTTAACAATTAAAAATTATTGGGATTCATTCATCACAAACTATAAAATATTTAATATATATTGAAGAGTCAGTTGGAAGTAATTATATTCCATAACTTTAGGGGATCTTTCTTTTTTCTTTCTTTTCTTACACTTGTTTCTTCTTTTCTCCTTTTCTATTTTTTTCTATAGATTTGTTTTTTACTTTATATAAAATCATTAAATGTAAGTAGTAAAAAAGAAATTATAAGACATGATGTACAAACTATAAGGCTTGGGTTCTTCACAGGTCAGATTATTAGGAAAATCAAATAATGCATAATGAATAGCTGCAATTGCATAATATATTAAAGCTGGCCTGCTTCGACCCTGAGTGATTACATACATAGTACAAAGCCAGCCCATCTGGCTAGTTTAATGTATTGTAATAACCTTTATGAATGACAAGGAACTAGTGAAAAACTTCTGACTATCCTTCCAGATACCCTTCCAGACAATCCAAGAGTGCCCTCTACTGCTTGTTGCTGCAACTCTCCAGATTATCTCTAGAGCAGTGGTTCTCAACCTTTTTAAGGAGGACTACCCAACCGGTCGTAAGTTGAGGACTACCCAACCGGTTGTAAGTCAAGGACTTTCCCTGCCCGGGAGCGCTGCACATGCGTGGTGCCGCCCCCTGCGCCGGCCAAGGCATAGCTGGCAAGTGGCAGAGACGGAGCAGGCCGACCACTGGCTGGGCCATCAGCTGGCCCAGCGCAAGGGAGATAAGGCACCTGCCGGGCCCCATGCATGCCAGCAACCTTCCTTGCGCCCGCCGGCCTCCCACCTCCCATCCCTGGCCCTCTTTTATTTACATTTTTAGTAGTTGCTCAGCAGGGAGGGGTGGAGGCTTCCAGACAGCTCGCCTTCGCTGCAGACAACTTGCAGCACTGTTTGCAGAATGGGACTTTTGGCGGGCTCAGCAGGGCAGAGACAGCCTGGACAATTCCTATTGGCTTTTGAAAGCCAATAGAATTAGACTCTATTCAAGAGAGTCTATTCTATTGGCTTTCAAAAGCCAATAGAATAAAAGGGAGTAGCACAGCTAAGGAAAAGGGGGAAAAAGTGGTGGACTGCGTTGTTTGGCGACCCCCGTGAAATGGTCGTTCGACCCTAAATGGGGTCGCAACCCACAGGTTGAGAACCGCTGTTCTAGTGGAATTTTTGTAGGTCCAAATAATAACCAGACAATCCATATCCCATTAAGTCATTGTTTCAGAGATATATTGTTATCTAAACAGAGAAAAAGAATGATCACAGATGGGTAATAAAGCAGTGGGAGCAACTTGCGACTTCCTGCAGGCTTCCCCATTGAGTTTCCTTGTGGGAAGCTGGCATGGAATTCAGAAATCCTTCCTTTCTTCCCTTCCCAGCAGCCAGGTAAATGGTTGCTGGTGGCTGGCTGGGTGGGTGGGTGGAATTGAGAGTGGCTAGGAAGCTGTCACAGAACATTCAAAATGAGTGTCACATGACTACAGCAGTAGCCCAGCAAAACTGAAGCCAAATTCCATTCCTTCTGGAGTCGTGGATCCCAGAATTTGGATGCATTCTGTAAGCCCATATGAGGAGCCTTGAGTCAAAACTGTTGCCCGCTTTGGCACTATTTTGCCCAGTTAAAAGTTACAGGAATGACAGTATATTGGTAATCCCACTAATTAACAAACAAACCAGTTCCAAACATCAGCAAATGCATAAAGAAAAAAGAAAACCCTGGGTCAGCGATACTATAAAGTCGCTCAAATTGATCATAAATTGTGTCAAGACAAAAAAGTACAATTTCTGAGATTCCCACACAGTTCACAAAACTGAAGAAGTTATTCCCACCACAGGCCATTTATTGTTGCAATCCAGTCCTCTGCCTTTTTAAAAAGACTTCTCACTACATCATCACAGCTTAGAAACAGCTAATCTGATAATCATCAAAATAAACATAGTTGTAATCCAAAGCAGGAAGGTAGCTTTGATTGTATAATCCAAACAACAATAATCCAATAATTATTTTTTCCCCAAATTTCTTTGAATTCCTTTGCTAAAAAGGAAGCCAGGAAAGGGGGAGGGAAATGGCTGCATTAGGAGTCTGGCAGCCAGCCTGGGAAAAAAAAATTCTTTTTTGAGTGCTAATGATAAAATGTCACCATTTTCTTAGCTTAACTCCTGGTTTAGGTGTCTAAGAGTTATTTAAAATACCACAAATTCCAGAGCAAGACAGGAAAACCTCCTGTCAACAGAGGGATGTAACTCCACCCTCCTGGTCATAACGTCCTATTAAAAACAGCAGATTAATTTTTGCGGAATGTTGTGTCTGCGCAAAACTGTGGACTTGGCTTTACATGACAACAGATAAATACAGACCAAAGAGGATCTTAGGCAATCAACTTTTATTCCCTCTCTGCCAATGAGGCCAAGTGACCCAGCTAAGCTCCCCTTTTCCTTCTTCAGTTGTGGCTGCATCTTTCTCTCAATACTTGGCCCCTAAACAGGGACCTAAAAATTTTCCTTGGTGCCAAGCCAGGATCAAGCCAAGACTTGCCTCTGACGTAGTCTGAGCAGACAGATAGCCGTCCTTTTTCCCTTCCCCTTCTCTTCACCACACCCTGATATCTCCTTCCTGGATCTTTTCCCCCTGTCTCAGGATTCCTATCCAAGAGGGGCAAAGAAGAGTTGAAGTCACCAGTCAGAGCCCGTATGGCTTCCTTCCTGAAGCCCCTTCCCCCAGATCCTTGCAGGCTGAGAATTGGGTGCATGAATCTGCAGCACAGGGCAGAGGCAAGCAGGCAGTTGTGAACCATGCGTACTAACCAGATTATGAAATACACTCTCTTTACCTCCTGCTACCTCTTCTGGGTGAGTCAAAAGGGGGAATATTTGGCAGTGCTGGGATATGCATTGGCTTTACCAGGGAAAACTACCGGTTTCCAGGAAGGCTGCGTAGCAGAGATGGTGTCACAAAGGCCCTATAACCCATCTTGTATCTTAAACTCTGGGAATGCTGGGTGAGTCAGATTCTTCCTCCTTAGCCAAACTGTTAATGTTCAGGGTAGGCCTCTGGACAAATAAGAAATTGGATGTGCCTTTGTGTTTCCTCCTTCAAAGGTAGCCAGTGGGCTCATGGTGGCTGTTGGAATTTACGCCAGGCTCTCAAAGGAAGCAGGTGAGTGGCCTGACCCTATATAGCAGGGGTCTTCAAACTTGGCAACTTTAAGACTTGTGGACTTCAACTCCCAGAATTCCTCAGCCAGCCTTGGCTGGCTGAGGAATTCTGGGAGTTGAAGTCCACAAGTCTTAAAGTTGCCAAGTTTGAAGACCCCTGCTATACAGAATTTACTGGGATGCAGTCCGCGTTAGGTGGAAGATGAGAAATCTGGGCTTGTCCTCATGGTCATGTTAACATGCTATTCTCCAGGTCTTGAGGCAACAAACTGGTATAACTTGCACTGTCCCAACAGTTCAGCTCTATTCTGTCTCAGGAATGAGGCTGGCAAGTGGTGTTGACCTTACAAATTTATGAGAAACAGATGTGATGGTCTGTGAGAATGTCCTTGAGAGACAGGAGGAGGAGAGCAATCTAGGCACCGGTCAGATAAGAGGTAGCTTACCCCACAGAAGGAATGGAGGCATGACAGATGTCTCAGAAGAGACTCTCCATCGTTTTGTGGACTGTGAAGGCAAGGCAAGTGGGGGGAACAGATATACTTTGAGACTTGTAAGATTCTTTACTTAACCTTACAAAAGGTAATTAGGGTTCCTGGTTGATGGTTCTTATCTTGATTGTCTCTAAGGACTCATGTAAGTTAGGAAAAGTAATGGATGGTATCTTCTGGCTTTGCTTCCTCATGCATCAAGTTTCATTTGCTGGTGAGAAAACCAATCATCAATTAATCTCCTTAACTGGGGAAGGGGACTGGAACTTCCAGTCCCCTGATTTCTGACCTGGTGCCTTAACCACTAAACCAGACTGGCTCTCAGAATATAATGAGAGAGGAGGAAGAGTTCTCACAGTGAACCAAGATGGCAGTCCAAGTTTCAAAATGGGATAAGAAGGAAAAGGAGATCAGCCTATGAACCAACCCAACAACAAAGTCATATTTGCAGACTAGAACTTCTGGTTATTAATTTCTTAATTGATTTACTTATTTATTTAATAAATAGATTGTCATCCTCAGATTCTTCCCTCAGCCCCACTCTCCAATGCTTCAGCTCCTCTGCTTGGCCTATGTTGTTGTGCTGGACCAGTATGTAAATCTGGCCAGACCATATATTTAGCTTAGAAAACTGTGTGTAGAGCAAGTAGCATTTTAAGGGTTAAAGTGCTGTCTCCTTAAGAGATGGCTTCTGGGAAATGTAGTTATATGGTTATATCTGTGTTCTAATTGGTCAGTTCTGTGTCTTAATTAGCCACTGGGAGCAACTTCAATGTTTTATGATAGGATTTCCTGGCTACCTGTGTAGTACAGCCACGAGACCCTTTGCTCCACACAAATATGGGGTTAATCTACCTTTAATTTTTTACACCACAAGAACGGACAGATTATGATACGTGCCTCAGAAGAACTCTTCTTAACTGTGAGTTATTGTTTAGAGATTCCTGAAGAATAAATAATCTGAATATTAATCCGTTTTTGGATTTAATCTGTCTGTGACAAACAGGAATAAAGCAAAGCTCTTGTTTGGATCAGAACAGTTGTCCTACTATTGAGGTTGTTCATGGAACTTTTAAAATAGTGTCTCCATCTTTCGCCAGGTGCTGTGGACTCCTTGTTGGCTGATCCCTCCATAATTCTTTTAGCAGTGGGCACCCTGATTTTCTGCATCACCTTTATGGGCTGCTTGGGAGCCCTACGGGACCTCACACTAATGCTGAAAATGGTACGTTAAAAAGGATTTTCCCTTTCCCATCCATCAGCCAGCTTTAGTGAGCAATGAGGAATTCTTCTCCATCTCTTTGATGGTAGTAGATCCTCCCACAGCAGGTACCGCTTTCATTTCATGCTTGTCAGCATCCTTTTGGTGCATCTGGCTGGCCCAGTTATGAACAAAGGATGCTAAACTGTATGGACACCTTCTAGAACAGGGGTTCTCAACCTTGGCAATTTTAAGACTTGTGAACTTCAACTCCTAGAATTCTGGGAGTTGAAGTCCACAAGTCTTAAAGTTGCCAAGGTTGAGAACCCCTGTTCTAGAAGGAGCTTTTCCTACAAGAAGCTCCTCAAAGGATTGGCACATATTGAAAAAGGGATATATAGCTCAATTCTCCATCAGTTTGGATTCAGACTCTAGAGAACAGGTGTGTGCTTGTTTGTCTATGATGAAACATATACTCTATGCAAATCCAGATTGAGACAGATGGGTGTTTTTCATCAGTGTGTAAATTGCATTCTGCAGCTGCTGACCTTTTTTTTTTCCTTTTCCCTTTTTCTTTCTTTTATTCATTTTGCTTTCTAGTTTGCCTGGATCTTGCTCATCATTTTCATTCTGCAAGTGGTGGCTGCAGTTTTAGGCTTCATCTTCTCTGGCATGGTAAAACAAACAAACAAACAAGCTTGACCTACCAACTTCATCAGCGGTAGTCAAAGTGGGCAAGATATTCCAGTGACAATCCTCCAGGCCTGTCTTGGTTTTCAAGTAGGCCATAGAAGGGTTTTCCTCATTGGCCCAAGATTTGTCTCAGCATTCCCTGTGACAAAAAACTCCCTCCATTTACATCCCCCAGGTGATGGAAAAAGCCACATTTTTGATGGGCCAGGCCATTTCCCGCTATCGTGACAACCTTGATTTACAGAACCTCATCAACTACATTCAGAAGAAGGTAACGGGTTCTGAATTTGCCCTGGTTTCCAACATTATGCAGAAGTTCTGGTTCCAGGGCCTTAGTACTCTGCCTTCCTCAGCTTTATGCAGGCTCTGTACAGAAGCACTGATGTTCTTTTTCACACTTCATAGAGGAAGAACAATTATCTGATCTGCAAAACTGGCCCATAGGTAATCCCTGAGTTATGACCAAAATTTCCATTGCTAAACAAGGTGGTTGTTAAGTGAGTCTTGCCCAACTTTACAACCTTTTTGCCACCATTGTTAAGCAAATCCCTGCAATTGTTAAGTGAGTTACACTTAACAACTGGTGTCTCCCATTGACTTTGCCATCTGGGAAGGTCACAAGTGGCCATCATGTGACCTTGGGATGATGCAACTATTGTAAACACATGTCAGTTGCCCAGCAGCCAATTTTTGATCATGGAACCCATGGGAATGCTGTGATGTTCATAAGTCACTTTTTTTTAGTGCTGTTGTAACTTCGAACAGTTACTAAACAAATGGTGTAATGGGCTATTTCTACTAATTTGGAATTGTTTTAAAAAAGATTCAGATATTATTGCTAGACATTGCCCTGTGTTTTTTGTGTTACTCTTTTGTTCTAGTCCAAATGTGTGATTCCTTTAAATGTAAAGTTAAATTGCAGCACCTGCCTGTTCAGTATGGCTTAACAAAAAGAACATTGAAACTTTAAATGGGCTACAATCCCTGCTGCTTGCCACATCCAGTTCTTTTATTGATTCATTTTGAGCACAACAGCATTAGAGTTTCTTTAAGGTGCAGTTAGGAGGCCCTTCAAGGAAGTAATAACCTTGCTTTGATGCTGAAAAGAGCACCATAAAAGAGCAGAACCCCCAAGATGTTATTAATTAATTTTGTAGGGGATCTTTTTGTAATGGAATATTTGTGAATCAATATTTTATTTTGTAGGATATCAGCCATGGTGGTAGGCATTATCAGATAACAGAATGCTGTATCAAGTTGCCATTTTGAATACCATTTTAATTCTGCCTCCAGCTTGTTATGGAAGAGCTACATTACTACTAAAAATGTGTGTTAAATATGCATATAACTGAAAAAAAAAATCTCTCTAAGGTAAATTGAGGTACAATTTGATTTCCCTAAAGCAGAAACTCTGTAGACGGAAGGCAGAACAAGACTGTTAATGTTATGGATGGTCACACAGTCAGTCAGATGTTTAGACTGGATTTGGCAATTTTGTCTGCCTATCAAGTCCTTCCCAAAGCCCTGGGATAAGCAGATGTTGTTATTTAATTGTATTAAGGCTAAGCTGTTCCAAGCAAAACTATCTTTTACAATTAACCGATGGTGATTTTGTCAATGCTGATGATGCTCAAGTGGTGTTCCAGAGGTTTTGGGATTGCACCAACGTGCCTATTCACTTTGTTTCCTTTCACCACAGTCATTCTACCCCTGATTTTGCAGGTCTTTGTAGTTCGTAATCTTCTCAAGTTCTTTCTCTTCTATTCTGGTCCTACTGCCATGTCCACCATCCAGACTTTTTTATATTATTATTGATCATTGCACAGTTAGCCAGATGTTCAGACTGGATTTGGCATTTTTGTCTACCTATCGAGTCCTTACCAAGGACCTGGGATAGGCAGATGTGGATGTTTGGTGGTATTACAGATATCATTGCAGGATGGAAGCAGTTCCTAGTAAGGCCACTTTTTGCAATTGACTAATGGCAAATTTGTCAATGCCAATGGTGTTCAAGTGGTGCTCCAGTTATTTTGGGATTGCACCCAAGGCGCCTATTACTATTGGTACTACCCTTGCTTGCCTTTGCCACAGTCTTTCTATTTCTATTTGTAAGTCTTTGTATTTTGTTATCTTCTCCAGTTCTTTCTCATCTATTCTGCTGTCTCCAGGCACTGCCACGCCCACTATCCAGACTTTTTTGTCTTTCTTATCGGCAATTGTTAAGTCCGGGATGTTATGTTGCAGGAGCTTGTCTGTTTTTTTTATTATTAATAATAATAATAATAATATTGTTGTTGTTGTTGTTATTCCTCTACTCAACTTCACCCATAAGCTGCTGAAGCAGGCTGTCCTTATGGGACATTTCTCTGTGATTTCATGTATCCAATTAGTTCCCTTGGCATTTGGTTTTGTTTCTCTCTCCTCCCCAGTTCAAGTGCTGTGGGGTTCACTCATACAAGGACTGGTCCCAGAATATTTATTTTGACTGCCAAGACACCAATCCCAGTCTGGAGCGTTGTGCGGTGCCTTTCTCTTGCTGTCTGCAAGACAAAGAGGTAAGAGAAAAGGAAATTCAAATATTCAGTTCTGAGGTAAGTAGGAGAAGGAACAGTACTTTAAGTCACTGTGGCAATAAGACTGGGGATACAGTATAAAATTCAAGGTCTTTACTAGGCCATTTATTTCTAAAATGTAGATGCTGCTGTTCAGAAGCCAAACAGGGATGGTGGGACAATTTATTAAAAAGTAAAAATTTTAACAAATCAAAGTCTAGACCTCCAATTTATGAAAATAGCAGATTACAAGAATTAACTTTAAACAAAGATTTGCAAAGTTATTGTGGAGCTTTTGTTATTTATTTTGAAAAAGAGAGCCCCCTCCCCCCAGTTTTACAAAGCACTGCTACAACAATTAGCTTTTATTCACAAATCAGAATTTGAGGAAGCATTATAGGTGGACAGCAACATTATTCTACTCTCTCAGACCTCTAGCAGCTTGATTAGAAATTTATTCCTAACTTTTGCGGCTGATGCTAATACAAATTTATGTGGATAATTTTATCATAAAATTTCCCAAAATCTGGGGGATGATAAGCAGGGTTAGTTTGTCCTTACTCTATCCTAATATTATGAAGCAAGACTGCTGTTTTGTTCATCATAGCTAGCAGATTGAACAGCTTAACAGAGCATCATATGAAGAGATTGTAGGAATAGAATTGTGTTAGTCCATAGTAGCAACACCTCACCCACCTTTTCTGGTACAGATAGTCCTCAACTTATAACCATTCACTTAGTGATTGTTCAAAGTGATAGCGGCAGTGAAAAAGGTGATTCACAATTGATAATCACACTTACAACTGTCACAGCATCCCCATGGTCACGTGATCAAACTTCAGGTGCTTGGCAATCAGTATGTTTTTATGTCATGTGATCGCCATATGCGACTTTCCTAGCCAGCTTCTGACATGCAAATTTGATGGGGAATGCAGGATTTACTGAATGATCGCCTGATTCAACTGCAGTGATTCGCTTAACAACCGTAGCAAAAAGTTCGTAAAATTGGGCACGACTTATTTAACAACTGCCTGGCTTAGTCACAGACGTTCTGGTCCCAATTGTAGATCATAGGGCAAGGACTACCTGCAGTTTATTCAAAGGTTCTGGAGTCAGAATTTCTGCATTTAATTGGAAATTAGGACAAATTCGGAACCTGCTATCTTATACTAGATCTTATACTTCTCTGTGGGCACGTGGATGATTGCCCAAGTCCTAGGCCTTCAGCTGGGTGTTATAAACCCTTTTTGCTTTAGGCTTCCGCTGCCGTGTGCAAAAAAAAAAGGTTCAATCAATCAATCAATCAATTTCAACTTCTCCCGGGAAAAAAAAGATCTCGCAAAGTTGGAATTGATTGGTTGAACTTTTTATTCCCACCCAGTCTGCTGTTACCACTGCAGCCATGCTCACCCAATTTGCCATCCCCACCCAATGGGCCATATCCACCCAATTGGCCACACCCACCCAATTGGCTATGCCCACCTGGCACCCGATATACATAAGTGGATTTTGGGTTGCAGTTTGGGCACTCGGTCTCTAAAAGGTTTGCCATCACTGTATTAGATCAATAAAGTGCTACAAATAAAGATGGTCACCACAGTGGAAGATGGTCTGGAGCTCACGAAAGCTTATGCTTTTTAATAAAATGTTTTACTCATAAAAAGTCCTACCAAACTCCTGATTTTTTTCCCCCATGTAAGGAGATGCAGTAATTTACTTTTCAGTATTGGATGCTGAAGAGCAAAGAACAGCCGATATCTCATATTTGCTCTTTGACATCTTGTCAGTGGTCAATCACTCTTAGAGACTATGGGCCCTCGGTGGTTTGACCCTGCACTTCTCTTAATGTTCTCAACTTATTCTAGGTTATGCTAAACACCATGTGTGGCTATGGGACACAGAATCTTAAAGGCTGGCAAGCAGAGAACTTGGTGTACACAGAGGGCTGCCTAGAGAAGATTGTCCACTGGGGACGGAGCAACCTGTTGCTGATGGCTGGGCTGGCATTTGGATTGTTGGTCTTGGAGGTAAGGCACTAGGGCTGGAGGAGATCTGATCAGCCTGGAATAAGACTGGGAGGATTTGAAGAATTTAATCAGCTCAGAAGAACCCCCAAACTCAATGGATGGAAATTAATCAACCTAGAACGAAGGAGAAATTTCCTGACAGTAAGAACAATTAATCAGTGGAACAACCTGTCTCCAGAGGTTGTGGGTACTCCAACCCTGGAGGTTTTGAAGAAGAGATTGGAAAGTCACTTGTCTGAAATGGTAGAGGGCTTCATGCCTAAGCAGGGGGTTGGACTAGAAGACCTCCAAGGTCCCTTCCAATTCTGTTATTCTATGTCCAGAGGTAGTTACCGTGATGACATGTGCAGGGTGTCATCACAAGCTCATCCCCTCCCTTTTGTACTTGTGCCCAGTGTCAGACATAAGTGCATATGACACTTGTCTTCCTCAGCCTTCTCTCTATGGAAGCCTATGCTCAAATTAAGGAAAACCCCCCCCCCCATTTCTATGCAACATTGAAGTCTTTACATCCCCTTCTTGGGTTATATTGCTGAACTTTCTCTGTTTCCTTCCAGGTTGTTGTCTTTCTTCTGGCAGTGATGCTCATTTATCAGATTGATTTCATCATCCAGAAGCGCAGAAGCACCAAGACAAGGAGGAGGCAGAGTTTCCCTGAGAAGTGAGAAAGAAGGCAGCAAGGGATGGAAGGGAGCTGTGAATCAGCTTTCCTGAACCCAATAGCCTTTGGATGCATGAAACTACGTACTGAAACTGCCAGGATTCCCATGTTGCCTCAGAATTCTGGGGCTTACAGTCCCAATACACCTGATGGCCACCTGATTGTAAAAGTCTGCTATAAATATGCCATTTTCATGCATCAGTTACAGGAACAGGGTTTTTTTTTTTATCCCAAATTCACACTCTGGGTTTGAAATATTTGTTGTTTTAATATTGCGGCTTATATGGATTGAAGAAACAAATAGCCTGGTCATAGAGGTTCAGTTAGAGTGATTGCCTCCAAAGGGAACCATACTCTGGGTGCCCTCCTAGTGGGCACATGGACACACATAGTCTTCCAACATCCAACAAATACAGATTATGAGGAAAATACTGGGAAAAGAGGTTGGGGAGTCAGCCATTCTAGGTAGACGAAACTAAGAAACCAATGCCATAGAGCAGGGGTAGGCAACCTTGGCTCTTTTATGACTCCTGGACTTCAACTCCCAGAATTCCTGAGCCAGTGTGCTGGACCAGTATGTAGCCATCTTGTCAGAGTGTATGTCTGGTTTAGGCACTAAGAAGTGTGCTGTTATAGCAATTAGCATTTGAGGGGTTACAAGCTGCCTCCTTAAGAGATGGACTTCTGGAAAATGTACAGTAGTTTAGTTGTTACATGGTTATATCTGTGTTCTAATTGGCCACTGGGAGGATCTTGTGTCTTTATTACCAGACATACTGTTAGGTGCCAGTTTTTATTAGCTTTCTCCATGACTCCTAGCCATGAGGCTGAGCTGGCAGCATGTAATGTTTATGTGGAATGGGGAAATCCATTATTCTTTTACGTGTGAAATGGGTCCAGATTACAATCTATATTCTGGAAGAACTTCTACAATAACGGTGAGTTAATGTCTTGAGGATACCTGGAATAAAGTAATTTGTATGACTTATCCACTGAGTTTATTCTGCCCATTTCAAGTGGAATCCAGCAACCTTCTCTGCATGAGACTTGTGGACTTCAGCCATGCTGGCTCAGGAATTCTGGGAGTTGAAGTCCACGAGTCATAAAAGAGCTAAGGTTGCCTACCCCTGTCATAGAGTGAGGACTATTTTTATTGTAAGGCTATACAAGTAGTCTCCTCTTACATCCGATTGTTTAGCAACCATTCAAAGTTACAATGGATACCTCAAAAGTTACTTATGTCCTGGTTCCAAAGTTGTGAGGGTTGAATAGTCCCATAATCACATTTTGGGTGCTTGGCAATTAGTTCACCTTTTTGGCCAGCTGCAGCATTCTGCAGTCATATGACTGTGATTTAAGACAGTTTTTACTGATTTCTGGCTTTTGGGGCAAGTTTCCGACAAAAATGCCCTTAGGAATACATCAATTCACTTAACAACTATGGCATTCATTTAATGACCACTGCAAAAAGAAGCCATAAAGTCAGGTCAAGTCACATGAGTGCCTTGACTTATAATTGTCCTGAATTATGACAGAAATTCCAGGCTCCATTACGGTCATAAGTTGAGGATTACCTGTAATAATAGAATCTTACAAGTCTGAATGTGCTTCCTCATTTTATATTCACTAAGGAGAGGTTTCCCTGAGATATTTTCTCAAGTTATTTTCTTGGTCTAGGCTCAAACCCCACCGATCTGACCATTAACAGAATAACGGAGTTGGAAGGGACCTTGGAGGTCTTCTAGTCCAACTTCCTGCTCAAGCAGGAAACCCTATGCCATTTCAGACAAATGGTTGTCTAATCTCTTCTTACTTGGTAGCAGTTCCTCCTCAAGGCCATTCCTTCTTTTCTCTACAGATGGGGAAAAGAGAAAAAATAACCCTTACTCTCCCCACCCATAAAAGATTAAGCCTAATGCTATAATTCGTTATGAAATACAATAAAAACTTTCAAAAACAATGGTGATTAATTCATTTATTAAGGGTGTGATGTCACTTCCTATCCTTGTGATTTTTACCAGCTCTTCCACCAATTTCAGGTGAGCAACCAGTTAGTTTATTAGTTCAGCAAATGAGTAGATAACCTGTGCCCCATTGGGTGACTGTTTCAGAGATATTTCCTTACTTAAACAGGGAAACAGAATGACCAAGGGCAGGCAAAAAAGAGTGGGAGCAGGAGTGACTTCCAAATTCCTGCCAGCTTCCTTAATGAGTTTCCTTATAATAGTAATAATAATAATAATAATAATAATAATAATAATAATAATAATAATAATAATAATAATAAAGTTGGAAGGGACCTTGGAGGTCATCTAGTCCAACCCCCTGCTCAGGCAGGAAACCCTATACCATTTCAGACAAATGGCTGTCCAGTCTCTTCTTAAAAACTTCCAGTGTTGGAGCATTCACCGCTTCTGGAGGCAGGTTGTTCCACTGGTTAATTGTTCTAACTGTCAGGAAGTTTCTCCTTAGTTCTAGGTTGCTTCTCTCCTTGAATAGTTTCCATCCGTTGCTTCTTGTCCTGCCTTCAGGCGCCTTGGAGAATAGCTTGACTCCCTCTTCTTTGTGGCAGCCCCTGAGATATTGGAACATTGCTATCATGTCCCCCCCTCGTCCTTCTCTTCATTAAACTAGACATACCCGATTCCAGCAATCGTTCTTTATATGTTTTAGCCTCCAGTCCCCTAATCATCTTTATTGCTCTTCTCTGTACTCTTTCTAGAGTCTCAACATCTTTTTTACATTGTGACGAAAACTAGATGCAGTATTCCAAGTGCGGCCTTACCAAGGCATTGTAAAGTGGTATTAATGTAAGGTTTTCCACTTAACCTCACAATTGCCCCAGCATTACTCAGGAATTTAAAAGAGCCAAAGAAACTCCTGAGCCGAGGTTTCAGCAAGCAAACAACTTTTATTTTGATCAAAACCGAGTTGGGTGACCCCATCTCTCTTCGTGGCTGGTAGAGAGATGAAGGCAACAACCAGAAAAGATGTCTTCCACCTTTTATACCTTTTCAGAACAAAGAGATCAGGTCTTGGTACCAGGCATAAGATGGCACAAAAAAACAATTCCTAGATGATGACTCATACACAGCAACCCAGGCTCCATCCGTAACTCCTTTTCCCCCTCCCCTTACTGTGCTCTTTTCATATAAGCAATCACCTATACTTAAAGCATGAAGCCCTTACTTTTCCAATATATATATAAAGCATCTGATCAAGCAATTAACTACAAAATAATGATTACAAAATAACAAAACAATGATTACATGATAACACTATATGTATCAATATAAAATGGTTACTATATATATAATAAATCCTAATGTCAAACTTAAACATACTAAAATCATAAGCACAATAAAATCCTTTCATTAACACTTCACGTGATCTTGATTCTATCCCTCTGTTAAAGCAGCCCAGCACTGTGTTGGCTTTTTTGGTAGCTGCAGCACATTGCTGGCTCATATTTAGGTGATTGTCCACTAGGACTCTGAGGTCCCTCTCACAGTTACTACTATTGAGCAAGATACCCCTATACTATATCTGTACATTTGGTTTTTCTTGCCTAAATGTAGAACCTTTCTTTTTCACCATTGAACTTCATTTTGTTAGATAGTGCCCAGTATTCAAGTCTGTCCAGATCTTTCTGTATCTTAAGCCTGTCTTCTGGAGTGTTGGCTATTCCTGCCAGCTTGGTGTCGTCTGCAAATTTGATGAGTTCCCCATCTATCCCCTTGTCCAGATTGTTGATGAAGATGTTGAAGAGCCCTGTGGGAATCTGACAAGGAGCATTGAAAAATCTTCCCTTCTCTTCCTTGCAAGTTAGGTAAGTAGCTGCTGCTGGATGGAAGGGAGACTGAGGGATTGCAAGACTGCCTGGACAACTATCACAGAATGTTGAAAATGAAGATCATGTGACCACAGCAGCAGTCAGTAACACTGAAGCAGCCACTTCTTCTTCTTCTCGTGCCATATCCGTTATCGGATGTTGGCAATCATGTTGACGATCCTGTTTTTATCAGCAGCCGCATGAAAAAGTGCTGCTGAGTTTTGTCCAAACTAGTCCCTTAGATTCTGAAGCCATGATGTTCTTCTTCTGCCTGGACCTTTCCCAAATTTCATTCTCTCAGGAGTTATGGATGTGTAATTTTGGGAAATTATTGTAAATTAGCTCATTTGAGATACCTTGATTCAAAAATTGTTGCCCTATGATGCACCGTTTTGCCTGAGACGAGAATTTTAGTAATATATAGATGAAGTCCACAGGCATATAGTTATGAATTCTCTGGCAATGGATCCATGTTGAAGCTCCTTGGCAGTTCTGTGTTAAGAGTATCTGGGCAAGAGTCCTTTCTGGACATTTTAATTCCTGATCTTCCATCCCTTTCCAAAGGAAAACCTTATGTTAGAAGAGAAGGAAAAAGCTAATTTTTAATGAGGAGAAAGCTGTTTTCCCGAAACCTAAAATATATTGTAAAAGGAGGAGCTGAATTTTAGGACCCTCTTGTTTATGGGAAAGTCAGCATGGTATAGTGGTTAGGAATAGGAAATTGAGAGTTCCAGCCCTGTTTTAGCACAAAGCCAGCTGGGTGACCTTAAGCCAATCACTCTCAGTCCTAGAAAGGAAGCAATGGCAAACCATTTCTGAAAAACCTTGCCAAGGAAGCTGCTGGGAGCAAGTTCAGGTAGTTGCCAAGAATCAATACTGACTCGAGGACAGTACACAAACACACTTGTTTGTGGAGTCCCAGGCCAATGCCCATGGGTCAAGTCCAAGTTGTGCCATTATCTGCTGCCCCTGCAGCATAAACAGTCACAAGCTTGCATCAGTCATGCAGAATAAGGGTATCTGATCCATCTTGGTTGCAGAGGTTTTCCCAGGTGAGTCTCAATTGATGGCGTCTCACTGTGCATTCTGGGACTCTCACTTGTTCACAAACAGCAGTAGTTATGGCAATCTGTTCCCAGCAGAGCCAATCGTTTTCTCCCTGGGCCTTCTTGGCAGTTGGGTTTAAGTTTTTCTGAAGCATGTGAAGTTTTGCTCATGTTGATTGGTGGTGTCTGAAGAAAACTTTGCTCCTTGTGAAAGAAGAAAGCAGCCAGTTGCCAACTCAAGCAGAACTCAGCATAAGCCACCAGATGGATCCCCTCCAAGACCTTCTTCAGGGGAAGTGGGGTTCGTTCCGAAGCCGTTGGCCTCCCAACCTCCTCAGAATCTTCTTGAGTTCAACACCAGGTAACTAAGCTTTTAATGGGACTGGGAAAAGGAAGGGAAACTAGAATGAACAGCATGCTTCATCTCCCCTGATTTGATTTGATCTGTAGGAAATGCAGAAAGCAGAAGGGATCTGGTAGCATTGAGCTCAACCTAGTTCCTGAAAGCTTATTGCTGTTAATAAAAGTTGTTGTGGGTTTTCAAACGCCTTGTGATTTGGGGCTACCATAATCAACATGGCTTTCCTCCACCTAGAAGGTCTGCAGATAATGTGAGTGCAGGCTGGAGATAGGTAATGCTATGAATGTCACTATCTGCAGAGATAATGAAGTAAATTTATCCTGACTGAGCACACTATAACATTTTAAATGCTAAGCAACTTAATTTAAAATGTAAATCAGTTGTCTATTTTAGCTGATTCAACCAATCTGCATATGGTTGCAGAAGATTGCATGTATTATCTCTGAATCATGAAGCCCGTTTTTCTTTTTGTTATTTTAAGTCAAGGTATCAGGAAAAGCATTTTGTTCTGGTGTGTGTGTAAAAGAAAGTAGGTGACTGCAAGTATTGTACTTATAAGCATTTGCATTTTTATAGTTTTAATTATCTGCCCAATTCAGGAGACATTTACTCAATGGAATGGTTTAAAACGGGTAGCCAACCTTGTGAACTTCAATTCCCAGAATTCCCCAGCAAACATGGCTAATTGAGGAATTCTGGGAGTTGAAGTCCACATCTTAAAGTGACCAAGGTTGGACACACCTGGTTTGAACTGAATTACGTCAGTTATCACTTGGGCATTGCCACCCAATCACATCACAAAATCAGCCATGTAAATCAGGGCTTTTCAACCTTTTCACCCATTGTACCAATTTTAGGATATGGCAATATCCGAGTACCACGAGTTGCCTAGCAAGGTGTCAAAAACTTGATGACCCCCCCCAAAAAAGAAGAAAAAAAGTGATAAAGTACAGGTAGTCCTCGACTTAAAACAGTAGGCTTAGTGACTGTTCGAAGTTACAATGGCACTGAAAAAAGTGCCCCCAAGCCACAGCTGAGCAAGACACCTGCCTGCCCGCCCGGCCACGCTCTTCCTCCTGTCGAGGCTTTCATTGTTGTGAGCATTTCTGTTGAGGATTGGCAGCGGGGGTGGTGTGGGGTGGTGTTTGGTTTTTATTCCCCCGTCTGCTGGGTGGTTGCAGCAGGTTTTGGTCACTTCACATGACCCTGGGACACTGTGACCGTCATAAATATGAATCAATTGCCAAGCATCTGAATGTAAATCACAAGACCCTGGAGATGCTGCAACATTCCAGCTGATCGGCGCTTCTTCTGGGCTGGAGCCTGGCACTGATCCTGGCGCTTCTGCTGAGCCCTGACAGCCCTGCAGCTCCAGCCATCTCTCGCTCAGGCTTGTACTGCCACCGGTTCAGCTCATTCCCCTCCCCCGCTACCACTTTTCTATGATGGTCGTGTACCACCTGCCAGGTGCCAATGTACCATAGGTGGTACCCGTACCACTGGTTGAAAAGCCCTGATGTAGATAAAGCAGGGAAAACTGTCATCATTTTTGCAACATAGGAGGAGAGATCAGGGAAGGAAAGAGAAATTAGCTTGGCTAAAGTGAACAGGGTTGTTTATGGCAGAGGCAAGATGGATTGACAAGGTGGACTTTACATTTTCCCCAGTGCTAACAGATATACCCTGGGAATCTAGGGGGTAGCTATACTCAATCTCTTCCT